ATTCTGATGAGTGACAGAGAATCTCATTATGGTTTTAGTTTGCATTTTTCTGATGATTAATGATGTTGAGCATCTTTTATATTGCTTATCTGGTTTAGATATCCTCTTTTGTGCAGTGGCTATTTAAGTCTTTGCCCGTTTTAAAAATTGGGGTGGTTTATTTCTTGTATTGGTATATGGAATTCTTTGTCAATTCTGTGGAGTTCTTTGTAGGATATATTGTCTGAAAATATCTTCTCACAGTCTATGGCTTGCCTTTTCACTCTTACTGGAGTTTTTTAATGAACAGAAGTTCTTTCTTTTGATGAAGTTCAATTTATCAGTATTTTCTTTTACGTTTAGTACTATGTATCTTGGTTAGAAAATCTTTGTCTACTACAGATCACAAAGATTTTCTCTTATGTTTTCTCCTAGAAGCTTGGTTATTGTAGCTGCCACATTTTGGGTCTATGGTCTAGCTCGAATTTTTGTGTATAACTGAAGTAGATTTAACATTCCCACTCTCCACCCCAATTTGAATATCCAGTTAACCTAGTACCATTTGTTGAAAGGACCATTTTTTCCCTACAGAATTGTAGTGGTTCTTTTATCTTTAATCAGGTGACTATATTTGTGAGTTTGTTTCTAGACTCTCGATACTGTTCCGTTTGTCTGTTTGTTTATCTTTAAGTCAGTATCACATTATCAAATACTGTAGCTTCGTAAGTTTGATGTCTGGTAGTGCAAGTCTCCACCTTTGTTCTTCTCCAATGTTGCTGTAGCTGTTCCAGGTTCTTTGTATTGCCATATAAATTTTAGAATCAACGTGCCACGACTCCTTCCTCCCTCAGCACATACACAACCTGCTGGGACTTTAGTTGTGATTGCCTTGAATTTTGGAAGAATTGACATCCTAAATATACCAGATATTCCAGTCCATAAACATGGATATATCCTTTCATTTACATTAATCTTTAATTTCTCTCAGCAATATTCTGTGTCTTGAAAATCTTGTGTTAGGTTAATTCCTAAGTATTTTACAGTTTTTTGGGTACTCTTCTGTGTCGTTTCGATATGTCCCTCTATCCCTTTGAACACTTACATCTATGCACAAAAAGGTGTTTCAGGACCACTTAGTACTTTCTTGTCTCCAGATGTGGAATCAGCTCTTTTCCAAGGAACCTTGGATCCTCTTAGTGGAAAACGGTCTTTAGGGACCACAAGCAGGGTGCTTGTGTGCCCATCGCCATGGACGTCATTACTTTTAGCTCCTTTCAGCAGAGAGCTAGGAAGTATGCTTTTTAAAAGTCATTACTTTGTGCTGATTCGTCCAGTAATTCTAATCCGGGATCATAGGGTTCTTCTCTGCCTTCCCCCCACTCTGTATTTCTACCTCCTTCCTCCCCACAATTTAAATGTATTTTCTTATTTCCTTTATTCTATACTACACACAAAATAGTTTCAGAATTAGTACACTAATGCTATTACCAAAATCAAAAGCACTATGTAAGGTTTAAGGTTTCTTTGCAGTTTTTTTTCTCCTAAGAGTATATTCTAGTAAGGGTGTACAGAGTTCAAAAGTAAAATAGATCAAAAGTTACTTGAATTATTTTTGCTTCTCTATGTTATGTTGCCATTTTGATAATACAGTTAGAATCATTAGTTTCAGTTTATATTTATACTGCTTTTGTGTTTTGACAAACATTTCATACTATAGACAGAATTCTGATTATGTTGATAACCTTGAGAAGTGTAGTTTATAACCACATGGTAAAGGTGATAGATTTGATAGTGATAATATCTTCTCAGATATGTTTTCTATGTTAAATGAGTAAGGAGTGGTCAAGTTGGAGTCACTGCAGTGGTAGATTGAGTCATGAAGATGTAATTCATTGCTTTTCTGGGCCAGTCCTGTGGCATGGTGGTGAAGTTCGTGTGCTTTGCTTCAGCGGCCTGGGGTTCATGAGTTTGGATCCCAGACGTGGACCTACGTACCACTCATCAAGCCACATTGTGGAGACATCCCACATACAAAATAGAGGAAGATTGGCACAGATATTAGACCAGCAACAATATTCCTCAAACAAAAAGAGGAAGATTGGCAACAGATGTTAGCTCAGGGCCAATCTTCCTCACAAAAAACAAACAAACAAAAATTCATCACTTTTCCAATAAAGCTGAGTGATTTCACAGAAGTTCTGTGTAAACTTAGGATAGGATATACTGATATCCTAGAAGTTCAGAGACAAAAAAGATAAATGTTTCTTTTCATAGAACCAGCAGAAATAATTGATTAAGATAATAAAGCTCAATAATAGCAATTATATATCACTGCAACATTAATTCCTGTGTGAGCCCAAGTTGTATTACAAATTCAAATTGACATCTGTAACTGGCTGTTTAATTGAGCAGCGTACCAGTACGCGGTACAGAAAGAGACACAAACTCCAAGACGGCCACCTGGCTTCTTCTCAAGGTGTAGTGCCAACAGCTGCAGAAAGCCTGTGCCAAGCCAAGGGTCTCTGTAAGCCATGGTAGCTACCTGTCGTAAGAAACATCGAATAGGAGATGTTTAAACCATGGCCATTGCCCCTCTCCTTCTTATGGCTAACATCTGGATAATAGAATCCTTAAACCTATACCATTCTCTGTAGGAGGGTAGCCAAACCTATGGTGGCCAGAAATTGTTTTCGGAAGCCCATGTAAATATGGTGTTTAAAGCAGTATTATAGCTGATATTAAGCGATGGAAATCAATATTGTAGCTGGTATAGCAGTACGGCAGTCAGAAGTGGGCTAATACACCCAAGCATTATACTGACAAGTTACGATTGATCCTGCACATATCAACTCTAGTTAAAACTTCTGGATAAGCTTTAAACGTGACCTGTTCGATACTGATTCTAACCGCAATTTCTAATTCACTAGTCAGTCATACTCCTATTTATTTTTAAATGATGAAGAGAAATTGATTAGATTATGCTAGAACTCTAACAATATAAGTAAACTATTTGAAAGTAGAGACTGAAAAATGAGTCTATCTATTGCTAAAATTCCTTTATTTTTGATTCTTGAGTAAATGGTTAAAAAATTTCAGCCTTTACTAAGCAGAAAATAAAAGCCTGTTGTCATCAATATCTAGGTAGTATTATGTTCATATGTAGGCATAATTTATTCAGTGCTATGAAGTGTGTGCTAAAAATTATATACTGGATGATGATGGTTTAAACAGTGTAAGATTTTCATTGAATTCATTTCACAATTAAGGAATTTCTTGTATTTTGTTAGAGTGCTGGATATGTTTGTGTAACCCTTTTTGAAGCGGTTCTCAGGTATATTTCCTTCTTTAATTCTTATATTTCAAGATAATGCCTTTAAAAGGCATTGGTATTTTGAACTGTCAGTCTATATAGGGAACTGTAGATTTTTATTTTCCATTTATAGTTAAAGAAAAAAATATTTGTTGAAACTTAAGATATGATTAAAGCAAATCTGTTTACTATTTTCAAAATATGTGGGGTCATCTGGACCAGCAATTATGTTTGTACCAGATCTAGTGAAGCACACAGTGTTCTTGGAGCAACAGTAACATTTGAACTTGTTCACTCTTAACATTTTAGGGGAGAAGACCGTGCTCTCTTTTATGGTTATGTAATTGGGTGTGCTTATCCTTATGTTACAGAGGATGGAATTGAGTTTTAGAGAACTGAGTGACTTCAGCTTTAAAAGAAATGAATTTTTAAGAAATGACAACATAGTTAAATTTGGGTAACAAAATAAATGTGGGTCAACAGTTTGTATGAGGAAAATTCTCAAATTGTGCATTACATATAGTTTAAGTATTTTCTTACTTGTTTTTGCACAGAGATTGGTAGCTTTATAAATTTTAGTTATATAGCTGTACTATCAATCGTGTTGAAATCTCTAGTTAATCTAGTAAACTAACAGATTTTTAAAATTACATTCCAGTAACAAGTATGCTTTTTAAAAGACTTCTTAAATCTTTTCAGAATTCCCGTGTGTGTATAATTCATTTATAGATGTCTATGTTAAATTTCATAGAGGATGATGAGTTTTGGTAAAAGAGAGGAGTAGATTGGCTCCAACTTTCTATGGCAGTAGTAGAACTATCTAATAGCCTGCGGTGGAGCTGGAGTAGAGGAAAGGCTCATTTCCACTGCCGTCTTCGTCATTCTGCATAGTTGTTAAATTAGCGCTGCTTGACTTGGGAGATGTAATGATTTCTTCTGATGTGACTAGCTTAGAAGTAGTAATATCAAACTTTATATTTAATCCAACACAGTTGTCTTTAAATTGAAAGATGGACTTAATAATATGTTTAGTATATATGCTATAGTATATATGTAATAGTATATATTTAGAATAATGATTGAGTATGAAAACCGGGATAGTACATTATTAAGTCCAAAGTGAGCTTTTCAGAAAGGGTGATACTTGACTATTTTAGGACTTTCATTACTTTATTTGATCCCCTCTGCCACTTCTAAGTATTTTCCAGCCCAGCGTAGTTTAGACAAAGAAGAAGTAAAAGCAAAAGTGGAATGCTCCTTTTTTAGCAGCATTGTGAATGAAAATACTAACATTGATGACTACGAAGAGTTTTGAAGTATTGTTTATGGATATTTTTGCTGAAATTTGTGTGAAAGAAGACACACTATAGTTAATTTACACACCCATTCAAATGAAATGTTTTTAATTTCGGCAGAGCATTTCTGGCTGGTACTTTCCCTTTAGGCTGTAGTTGAAGTTTTGTTACGTTGTTCTTGACAATTCATGATGTTAATGTTTCACAAGATCTTATGCTATGTGTGTCTCCCTCTCAGTAATGTTTCTCACTTCCTAGTTTTGCTGTTGGTGGAAAATCTAGTAGCTTGTTTTCCAACACACCATTAAAATTATGTGTGAAAAAAACTCGTTGTATTTATAAATAGTGGCTTCCACTTGGTGTGTCTTACTTAACAAATTTAGCAAATATTCCATACACTCTGAACTTTTTTTCAGTGTACCCGTGTGATGTGGACACCACCTCTCCGTGAGAGCTTCTCATATCCATTCCTTGTGCTTCAGATGTTGCTTGTGACTCATATTCTCAGGTAACTTTGACTTATCTTCAGTTGTTGTTTGTTTGTTTGTCTTCCATTGAATAACTTAAGCTAGAATTTTTTAAGTTTCCATAATAAAAACAGTCAGTGTAATAAAATAATTAAAATGATGCTGATGCTGGCTTGAATTCATGACAGTATTTTAAGAGTATAACTTCAAAATATTCTCTACCAAAAACGTTTTCTTAATGTGCCTTCTAGTCTTCCTTTTTCTTAGTGGTCCACAGATACTGCTCAAGGAGCAGCAAAGCTGCTTCCACTTCCTCTGCCATCCCCACTTTCTCAAGTCATTTTCTGCCACCACTACAGCTTCCCAAAAATAGGCAAAAAGAAGGGGGAAAGCTGGCGGCAGTAACGTGTATCCCATAAGATAGAGTCCTTTGGAGCAGAGAACAGTTCGTGGAATGATTGTGGTCAGGTACATTAACATGCGGAATTCTTCTTTCTACATTTGTTTAGCATTTCTGAGAATCAGTCTGTAGGGGTAGAAAGAACCAAACGCAGTAGACCAAAGATACGCCAGGAGAATTCCTGCTGGAAATTCAGGATTGGATGGGGCTCTTCTGTGTCTTTGGCCTTCAGCCAGAGATGCAAGCACCACACAAGTGGAAAGTGAGTAGGACCCAGAACAGTTTGACAAATACTGAGTTTAGACAGATGCTGCCTTGATTCAGAGGGCAAAAATAAAATGAAACGGGGCCTATGAAAAAATAGAACGAAGCATGATGAAAATCTGAAGATGACTCAGACTAAGAACTCCCCTCAGTGATCTGCAGAATTCAGGAGAACATGGTTGAAGTCTGTTACTCCAAACCCTTGTGCCATCCCTTTCCCCCATGATGGTCTTGGTTGGAACAGATCCATTATGTGGCTCTGTCTCTTGTAGTGTGTTCAGATCTGCCTTTCACAGGATGTAGATGGGCGCAGCTTTTGTACTAGCGTTTAAAGTCCCTGCAACTCCAATGTCATTGCTCTCCCCTAAATTCCTCTTCTACTGTAAGATTTAAAGCTTTTTTTAGCATCTTCTAATAAAGTGAACTCTCTGAATTCATAACTTTTAGCTCTGGGGCGCCTTGATAGACATTTCCTTCTCAAACGATTCCGAAAGAAGTGTTGCGCTATCCAAGTGTCTGATTCACCAAGGCTGTGTTTCCACATCCGCATTCTCGATCTTGGCTTTTTCCTCCAGTATAGTGCAGACAGTGGACTGCCCATCAGTCTTTAACTTCTGTGTTTCTTCTGCCTCAGCTTCTGTCTTAAATCCAGCAATGGCGAACCTTTGCTGGTGCTCACACTTCCTTCCTGATCTGCTCTGATCTGAGTAGCCGTGGATGGTGCTACTCCACCTGCTGAGCACTGCTTCCTTTGATCCGTCCTGAGGGATGTACTGCAGAAGGTTCTGCTACTTTCCTATTGATGCTGTAACAAATCACCACAAACTTTGATTTATCTTACATCTTACAGTTCCATAGGTCAGAAATCCTAAAATTGAGGTACCGGCAGGGCTACACTCCTTCTAGAGGCTCTAGGGAAGAATCAATTTCCTTGCCTTTCTAGCTTCTAGAGGCTGCCTGCATTCCTGGGCTCATAGCCCCTTCCATCTTCAAAGCTAGCAATGGTGGGTTGAGTCCTTCTCCCATTGGTTTACTCTAACCTTCTTCTGGCCTTTTAAGGACCCATGTGATGACACTGAGCCGACCTGGATAATCTCCTATCTGAAAGTCAGCTGATTGGTAACCTTACTTCCACTTTGCCATATAATGTGACATACACGGTTTCCAATGATGAGGACATGGATCTCTTCGGAGACCGTTATTCTGCCAACCACACTGGGGCTGTTCCCATTGCTGTTTCTTGGCCTCAGAGACTGCTTTCTGTTAGGTTCTTCATTCGTGTTCTCCAGGTGCTTTTGTGGCCAGCTCTTTCTTTACTTTTTTTTTTGCCTCCTAATCATTGTCATTTCAGCCTCATCTATGTCCTCATTTCTGTCTTTATTTTTGGTTTTTGCAGAAAAGTTTTAGGAGAATTTCCTTCCTTCAAAGTTTCTTCCATTCTCTTTGTTTTTATCTTAGTTGGCATCTTCCTTCTCATGTTCCTAGAGCTGCAGCAGCTTTTCCCACTGGTGGTTCAGCTTCATCGCCATCTCCATCTCCTCCCCATCCTCACCGGCACCTCATCATTTCCTGTCGGGGGCAGGCTGCTTGTCCTTTGTTCCTTGGTTGGCATGGCTCCCTTGTTCCCTGGTGTGGTTACTGCTGTGGCTGGTGTGACTGGTTGTGTGGAAGTGTGGTGGCTGCTTTCATTTCCCTGGGATGATGGCTGCTTTCTTGACTGTCGTCCTTTTTCCTGGGCAAAACTACATCCTCTTCTGGATTTGTGGCAAACTTCTTGCCTTTATTCTGAAGAATGACAGCCTCCTCTCAATCTTCTGATATTTCATCCTTGGTACTGATTTCTGTCTCCTTCGGTGGAGTAGCCATTTCCTTTAGTTCTTGGTTTCCACCTGTAATTCTAGCTCGTGGTGTTGAGAGGAGCAGGGAGTGGATGGCATGGGTGAGCCAAGAGGAAACTGAGCAGCGTTGATGTTGGCTGCAGCTGCTGAGGATACTGTGACAAAGCTAGAAAAGAGACTACTCCTAATGCTAGAAATCATTTATAAATAAGGTTAAAAAGATATTTATCTTAACAAATTGGTTTTGTCCAGTTTTGAATCTTAAGTACTTTTAGAAATTCAGTTTTGTATAAATCACCTAATATCAGCTATAGTCTTAGCTAGTTCTTGATTGTTCCTGGAATATTTCTGTTATCCTAGTTCATTGCTATACTGATTGTGCCATCAGCAGGTGGAATTCCTTTGCTTTCCATTTGTTCCCCTCCTCCCAGTGCATTCTGTCCCAGCTGCCAAATTAGTATTAAATTCTGCTCAGAAGTCTTTCTCTCTCATTACCCATAGAATGAAAATCATGTTCAGTACTAAAAAGCAGAGAAATGCTTTATTTTAGACAGTGGCTTTCCAACTTATTGACTCTGATCTACAAGAAATAAAATCCGTCTTACATTGTGACCTAGTATACACATTCGTGTGTGCACACAAACGGCTGAAACAGAACTTTCAAGGAATTGTGAATAATAAAGGATAAGAACCCTTGTTATGTAGGATGCAATCATGTATTTTTCCTCTCTACTTCACTCCATTAAAAATTGTTGTTTTTAATCTAATAAATTGATTTCATAACTCATTAATGTGTTACTTGGATTTTAAAATACTTCATTTAGGGGCATGATGGGAAGAGTTGGATTAGAATAGCAGAGAGGGATGTCCTTTGGGGAAGGGAGACTTAATGAGTGGAGAGAGGCATTTTGAGGTGGCGCTCAGCGCCCAGGTGGGTTTGTCCTAAGGAGGATTTCTTACTGTATCCAGGGTGCACACGTTGGACCTCGGTGTGTCAACATGCACGCTCCACCTTGTGAAGATGTCAGGGTCTTCACATTGACTCACTGATTTAAGAGAAAAGTACTTCTTAAAACTAGTGTGAAAGATAAAATTACCTCACTCTCCTAAAAATCCCCTAAATTACAAGTCAGGGTCAAAGTGAAGCCTCTAAAGGTGGCTCCAGAGTGGCCCCCGCCTTTGCCTCCTCTCCTCTTTTCTGCGTCCTGCCTGTGCAGGGCCCAGCTTTTATCCCACGTCCTCTACGAAATCTCTCCTCGCTGCTCAGCCCGTATTCTGAATTCTTGCCCTGCTTGTCTGCAGAATACTTAGGACTTTGAATATGCTACTTTCTTTGATTTTTCATAGACGTCCTCTGTCTCTCCAAATGACTCTGTTGAATGCAGCATTAAATATGTTTGATTATGGCGGCTGGCCTGGTGGGTCAGTGGTTAAGTTTGCGCACTCTGCTTTGGTGGCCTGGTTTTCACTGGTTCGGATCCCGAGTGTGGACCTACACATTGCTTATCAAGCCACACTGTGGCAGGCATCCCACATACAAAATAGAGGAGGATGGGCATGGATGTTAACGCAGGGCTAATCTTCCTTAAAAAAAAAGTTTGATTATGCATTCACCAAAATATAGTTTGAAAAAATTTAATGGATATACTGACCCAGATGCCCTCTCTCTCTTTGGCAGACTTTATTTTTATAGTAATAATGAGTATTTACTTTTCGTAGAAAACTATTGTAATTGAGTGTCGGGAGGTATAATTTCTAACCCATTGGGTCATGTTATAACCGGATCATGTTTAGAGATTCTAATTTCCAGCAGTTGGGATCCATGCTAGAGTATTTTCTGCTTACACTTACTGATATTTATTTTATCTTCTCAAGGGCTACAAAACTTTATCGAGGCAGCTTGATTGCACTCTGCATCTCCAATGTGTTTTTCATGCTTCCGTGGCAGTTTGCTCAGTTTGTGCTTCTCACTCAGGTAAGGCACTTACATTTTTAAACTGACTTAAGCTTAGTGTGTTTGATTATGTGAAATCGTTTGTGTAAAATTATAAAACTGAGATGTTATGTGATTCTAAGGCCTAAAATGATTTTTAGTTAATACTTTTAAAGAAAGTTCAGGGTAGGGGGATATGTAAGATTTACTTATTAGTGGGTGTTAACTATTTATTTACTAGTAGAATGCACTTATTAAACTCAAATTTATAACAATGCTTATATTTGTTTTTCAATATTTTTAGTGTGCTAAAAAGAGGACTAGTGCTATAATTTTAAGTATTTTGCTTAAGTAAACTATAGTATTTCTCTTAAGTAAAATGTATTTCTTTTATGAATAATGCTGTACATTTTTACACATAGGATAAATAGTTAAACAGTTCATATTTTATATAACTCCCCTATCAGTCTGTAATTGATCTATCATCTTTCCAAGTACGCTTGTCTCCCTTTCTTTTCAAATAGAGGTATATAAAGCAAGATAAAGGTAGCTCGTTGAGAGAGAGAGTAAATTGTGTGTTCATCTCCCCGCCTGCCACTACTATTTTATCTTACTGGCCATATTCATATTCGTATGAAGCAGTCTAAGAATTGCTTTGTAATGTTCTTTGAAATGCCTTGCTTGAGAAATGACGTCAGATTTGGATTTGAGTCCTAACTATTCTCTAGCTTCCTTTGTTTTTGTTTTTTTTTTTTGCTGAGGCAGATTTGCCCTGAGCTAACATCTGTTACCAGCTTCCTCTTTTTTTGCTTGAGAAACATTTGCCCTGAGCTAACATCCATGCTAGTTTTCCTTTGTTTTATATGTGGGTCACTGCTACAGCATGGCCGCCAACCAGTGGTGTAGGTCCGCACCTGGGAACCGAACCTGGGCCATGGAAGCAGAGCGCACCAAACTTAACCACTAGGCTGCAGGGCCTGCCCCACTACCTTCTTGACTTGCACAAACTGCTTAACTTTTCTTAGTTTCAGTTTTCTCATTTGTGAAATAGAGAAAATAAAATAACCTACTTTATTGGGTTGTGGTTAGGATCACATGAGGTAATGCATGTAAGATTCTTACACATTACCTGGTACTTAGCAAGATGTCTGTAAGGTTGGCTGCTTTTATCATTAATTAAAAAAAGAGGCTCTATTTGTGCAATTTTAATTCTTTTAGATTCCTTTGTCTTCTTTACTGTGATTACATTTTAAGTGTTTCTAGTTTGAAGGGTCCCTGAGAGTCCCTCCTTAGGGTTCCACCCTGGAGGCCTGCTGTGTGTTGCTCAGCCCCTTCCAGTTAGTGGGGAAGGCCCTCTCTTTCCTTTTGGGGCGGGGGTTGCGTGGGGTGAGGGGAGGAGGCGATGTGATTCTCTGTGGGGCTTATGTTGAGTAACAATGCACACTTCTTTGCATAAAGGGGAAAAATATAGATTTGTTTCCAAAAAGTTGTATGAAATATGAACTGTTTATTGTGTCATCTCAGTCTTCCTTCAAGAATGCAGAGCTCCCATGGATAAATCTGGGCAAAGAGAAGCCTTGTTTTTCTTGCTAATGGGAAACAATGTTGTAGATTGTTTGGAGAAAAAAACCTTGATGAATAGAACTTAAGTTACATGTTTAAGTATTCAGCTGTTTTGCAATGTGTTTATACTATGTTTCTGTGGTAGGAGAAGTGTGGAGTTAATCTGAATTGCTTTCTCCACGCAGAAAGGTGGCGAGGCACTATACCTCTATATTTTACTAAGACGTACATTATCATCATTTAATCGATTAATTCATCTAAATCTCTCCAGTACTCTTAGAATTCTTGGTAAATGCACACACAATTTTCTTCAAAACTGTAGAGAAAGTTAAAAATCCCTTTGTAATGAAAGTACTCCTTCTAATTTAAAATGTGATAATAACTAATGTGAATATTTGGATAAATAAAAGAGAACACTAATGGAGACACTTGTAAAGAGTGACTAACAAGCAGAACTTAATGTATTTTCACACACACATGCATTAAATAATTATTTTTGAGTTTGATGTACCTTCCCTAATTATGTATTAATTGTCATATATTAGAATTAAATTTGCATGTTTTTTGACTGGGCAGGGCACTTTGTTATTGTACATGTTGACAGTAGAGTCACCCTGACGTTAAAATGAGTATTGTTTGGATAATCCACAAAGTAGATAATTTACATGGTTAATTGAGAGAACTGTATATGGAAGAGAAAAATCAACCAATATTTGCTATATTGATATATTGACCATATTCAGTAATAAATTGGCAGGTAAGAGGAAAACTAAAGATCTCACTTTCAATATAAATATAAATATAAATCAGTTTGGAACAGCAATAAGGATAATCTTTTCTTCATTCTTAGAGCTATTCACTATATATGTAATTTTTAACTTCTTTTTAAATTTCAGATTGCATCATTATTTGCAGTATATGTTGTGGGATATATTGATATATGCAAATTACAGAAGATCATTTATATACACATGGTAATGATTTTTAATTTCTTTTTTCCATTTAGTTTGACCTTAAAACAAACTTCTGATTAGTATTTGATTTGTTCACAGTTGAAACTGGTTGTAATATAATTCCATAACTAAAACAAGTGTAATTCAAAACTGTGATATAATTAACAGACCTTGTTTTAAATAGGCCACCCAGAAAATTTTAATTTAGGTCAAATTATCTGATTTGAGGTTGTGCCTGACTTCTATGTTACCAGTAAAACAGATAATTCATGAAGGAGAAGCATGGAATTGTATATTGTCCAGGAGCCTTCTGTTAAAATGAAGTAGCATGTTCATTTACTGAGCACCAACTATTCAGGCACACGGGATGTACCAGTGAGCAGAGCTACAAAGATCCCAGCACGCTCGTTGATTACATTCCAGGAGAGTGGAGGAAGGAGAGAAGACAGAGGATAAATAGTAAACGTAGTAAATGGGTAAATTATATAGTATGTTAGAAGGTGATAAGGACTGTAGAAAGAAAGAGCAATCCATGGTTCCCCAGGGAGATCAGGAATGCCAGCCTCAGGGGAGGTGTCCAATGAGGTGGTTATGATATCAAACCTGAAGTGAGTTCGCTCACCCGTTGTGCAGCAAGCCAATCTCTGACACTGGGTGTAGTTGAAGAAAGTAAGAATTTATATTGCGCAGTGCTGAGTAAGGAGAGAGGGCAGCTAACGCTGAAATCCCAAACTCCCCAAAAAGCTAAAACGAAGGGTTTTTATTTGGGGTTTTAGGTAGGGGAGGGGGAGCATATGGCCTTGCTGATCGGAGCTTTCCCACCAGCCTGTCTTTGCCTTGAGACTACTTGCAGAGAGGAGGGAGCCCGTGACCTTGCTGGTCAGCAGCTGTCCCAGCAGCCTATAGCTCCTTGGTGAGGGGGAGGGGGAGATAATGAATCCAGGTGATTATCCTTGGCCCTTTGTCTCCATGGAGGATAGTGGATTCTGGAGCCAGGAATCCAGGGAGTAAGCAAGGAATGAGTACTTTGGTTTTAACCCCATATATGCTGGGTTTAATGTAGGGAAACTGGTATCAGGCTGGTATCAGTTAGAGCAGGCCTTACTGAGCAGTGGAGAGTGGAGCAGAGATTGTGAGGAGGAGAGGAAGTTAGCTAAGCAGATGTCATGGAGAAGAATATTCTAGGTTGGTGGAACAGCTAGAGCAAAGGTCCTAAAGCTGGATGGTTGATTTTGATAAATGTTTATTCTTTCTTTTGTTTTTGTCATTAGTTCTTACAATTTTGATGTTCTCTTTTTCCTATAATTTTAATGCTTTTATAATATGCCATTATTATTGTTTATTCTCTAATAATTGGTACATATAGACCATTTATAATATATAGGGAAGTTAGAAACAAAGTTATGAAATGAACAACCATGAGCCTACCCTCCAACTGAAAGATAGAACCATCGTGACTTTGAAGCACGTGTGTGCCCTGAACATACCCCACTCACTTCTCCTAGAGATAACCACTACCCTGACTTTTTAAATTATAATTAACTTGTTCTTCTTTCTGACTTTACCATATATGTATTCCTAAATAATATGTTTTTATTATTAAAGGTTAGTATTTTTTTAAGATTTGTAAAAATAGTATCCTTTTATGAGACTTAGGTTTTCACTCAGGTTTCTGGGATTTGTATGTTATTGGAGTTCAGACATTTTCTTTGCATTTTCCATTGCATAAATAGAGCACAACTTATTTATCCGTTTTCTTGTTGAAAGACATTTAGTTTTTTCCTCTTCTGTTTTCTTTTATGAATAATGCTGTACCTTCTTACAATTACCTCCTGGGGCATGTACATTAAGAGTTTCTCTGGGGTATTTATGTAGTAGTAGAATTTCTCGGTGGTAAATTATATATGTGTTCAAGTCCATAATTTAATACTGCATTGGTCTTCAAAAATGATTAGACTGCTTCAAAGAGTAATGTATAGCAGTTCATATTATTCTATATCCTTTTTTATTTTGTCAATCTGGTGAGTATAAAATGGTATCTTACGGCCTTAACTTGCATTTTCTCTGATTCTCAATAAAGCCAAACATCTTTTTGGTGTTTATGGGCCCTTTTTGTTTCCTTTTGTGACATTTCTGTTCAGATCTTCTACCAGTTTTTCTCTTATGTCCAAGAGAAAATCTCATCTGCTTTATTCACTGCAGTATAATCCACTATTTCCATTATTTATTTTGATGCTTGACTTGTTCCAGATTTGCTACTTCAACTTGACTTCTTTGTCCTTTTAGCATGTTCTCATTACACTTTGAGCACTTTTTAAAAGAAATTAGTAAAGGCTAAACTTCATCAAATGCTTTTCTGCATCTGTCTAGATGATCCTGTGTATTTTTCCCTCTTCAATATGTTGTGGTGGTGAATTATTTTAATTGATTTTCTATGTTAAGAAACCTTGCTTTTCTGGGCTAAACACAATTTTTATATGTTGCTGGATTCACTTTGCTATTATTGTGTTAAGAGACTTAAGTCCTATTCATGAATGGGATTGGATAGTAATTATTCTTCTCTTACACTTGGCTTATTTTTTTAATCAAACTGTTTAATACTATAGTTTTTTTACATTGCAGTAAAAACAAGAATAATTGTTAAGCGTTTAGAGTCCATCAATCACACAGTCACATAGGCAACTCTGGATGAGGACCCTCACTCAAAGCTACAGCTATAAAAGTACTAATATTACGCAGGGTTGGTTGGTAGTAGAACCTGTCTTGGCTAAATAATATATGCTTTATAACGTGACTTACTGTCTGTGGAACTTAGTTACTTACTAACTATGGAATATCTTCTTTTGTTATCACCTTACAAATTCCTAAATCCCTATAGTTGCATAAAGGAAAAAAGACAGAATTGTCTCCAAAAAAGAAAGTTTTTTCCATTTTTTTATTGTGGTAAAATACACATAACGTAAAATTTACCCTCTTAATCTTTTTAAGTATTTACATCAATTGTATTAGGTACATTCATATTGCTGTGCAACCATCATCACTAACTCCACAATTCTTTTCATCTTGTAAAATTGTAACTCTATACCCATTAAAAAAAACTCCCTATTCCTCTTCCTCCCGCCAGCCCCTCAATATGTCTGTAATTTTAACTACTCTAGGTACCTCATGTAAATGGAATCAAGCATATGTGTCTTTTTCTGAATGGATTATTTCACTTAGTATAATATTCTCAAGGTTAATCCATGTTGATGCAAATGGCAGTATTTCCTTCTTTCTTATGGCTGCATAATATTCCGCTGTATATATATACTACATTTTCAATATCCATTCATCCATTGATGGAAATGTAGGTTATTTCCCTGAAAATAACGCAGTGAACACGGGAGTGCAGCTATCTCTTGAGATCCTATTTTCATTTTTGAGGGGATTGCTGGATCATATGGTAGTTCTATTTTTAATTTCTCAAGGAACCTCCATACTGTTTTCCATAGTGACTGTACCAGTTTACATTCCCACCAACAGTGGGAAAAAGAGTTCCCTTTTTTTCCCTTTTTTACCAACACTTATCTCTTGTCTTTTTGACAATAGTCATTCTAACAGGTGTGAGGTAATGTCTCACTGTGGTTTTGATTTGTATTTCTCTAATGATCAGTGATGTTGAGCACCTTTTCATGTACCCGTTGGCCATTTGTCTGTCTTCCTTGGCAAAATGTCTATTTAGGTCCTTTGCCTGTTTTTATATGAGATACTTTTTTTTGCTATTAAGTTGTAAGAGTTCCTTATGTGGATATTAACTCTTTATCTGATAGATGGTTTGCAAATATTTTCTCCCATTCGTAAGTTGCTTCTTCATATTGTTGGTCATTTTTTTTTTTTTGCTTTGCAGAAACTTTTTACGTTGATGTAGTTCCCCTTGTTTATTTTGCTTTTGTTAGCTCTGCTTTTAAACTTGAGCAGGGCTGTTTGCATCAGGGCTGATGTATGAGGGATGGGTAGCTCCTGCTGAGCTAAGAGCCGGAATCGACTGAAATTAACTACAATTTCCTGTCCAGAAGTTCTTCTGGAAGTTGCGAGTCTTGATAGACTCCCAAGTTCCAAAATAGTTGTATCAGATAGATTCCACCGGGGCAGTTATTGTCTGGGGGGAGACAGATTCCTGCCCTTCTCCAAGAATGTTGCAGCTACACTTGACTGATTTTGATATCAGATTTATTCTTACCCCATAAAATTAATTGTAAAGTATCCCTACTTTTTGTGTCTGTGATAGATTTTGTGTAAGATTTGAAGGAATAGTCCCTGAAAGTTTGGTAGATATTGGCCTGTTAAGCTATATGGACAGATATAGCTTTGTAGATATCCATTTTCTTTGTAGACAGATTTTAAATTACTGATCTAAGTTATTTTATGATAATAGAACAATTTAGACTTTTTTCTTGAGTCATTTTTTTGGTAACTTTTATTTTGCTAGGAATTTTCCCGTATCGTCTAAGTTTTAAAGTTCACTAACATGGTTTTTCACAGTGTTGCCTTATTTTTTTTAATTTGCTAAAATACAGATACTCAAAAAAGACATAGATACTAAGATAATTTGTAATAATCTCTCCTTTGTTCTGTACCTTCTAAATTCTCAATTTTCTTAGTTTATTAATGTTCAAATTTTCTTCTTCAAATTTAAATTTACTGATGTTTTTCAGCACCAGTTGTTTGTCAAACATTTTCTAGGTCCTGAGGATATAGCAGTGATAAAAACAATGAAAAAAATCCCTTCTTTCCGTGAGCTTATATTCTAGTGTACACAGAAGTAATCCAAGTATGTAAGATAAACAAGATGTTCAATGGGAGTAAGTACCAGTAAGGAAAATAAAGCAGACGAGGAAGGTGGGATTTGCTGAGTAGGTAGGAGTGTTACTGAAAGTTCGGTCTGTGATCCTGATGTCAATCCAAATAACGAGAACAGAGTCTTGGGTGAAAAAGGAAAGGCTTTACTTTGCCAGGCAGAGGGAGCAAAGCAAGGGCCAGTGCCCCAAAAGTTGCTTGCTCCCCGTTAAGAAATGGGTAGGGGTTTTATTTGGGGTTTTAGGGGAGGGGGTCTGTGGCCTTCTTGGTCAGCATTTTCCCATCAGCCTGTATCTGGGTCTTTTTCTAGTGGAGGAGACAAAGGATTTCTCAGATGAGTGTCCTTGGCTGTTTATCTCTATGGTGAAGGTAGACTCTGACATCAGGAAGCTGAGGAGTTGGGCCTGGGAAGCTTCTATTTCTTGATATTCTCTGGACATTAGTTTCTCTGTAAAAGAACTTCAAGGTCCTGTGATTAGCCACAGCTTTAGTGGGAGCCCAGCGTGAGGCCATCTGGACTTTAAGAATTTGTAACTTCTATTTGGCTCTATAGCTCAAGGAGGTCAGAGGTTAAAGAAGCATTTACGTATGAGTGTAACTAAAGAACCGGGGACCTGGGAATGTGTGCCTTACTTTTAACCCATATATGCCTGGTTCATTGTGGGGGAACCAATGTCAGGGCTGATACTAACTAAGGGCCAGTAACAGGGGAGGTTGTAATTTATAACACTGAGAAGAGAAGGCCTCACTGAGAAGGTTATGTGGGGATAGATGAGGGAGCTCAAGTAGCAGCCATTAGGGTAAAGGAAACAGCAAGCATAAATGCTCTGAGGTGGGAGTGTACCTGGTGTGTTCTAGGATCTGCAAGATGTGGCAGCATTGGAGTGAGAGAGGAAAGAGTAATATGAAATGAGGTCCCAGAGGTGAGTGAGGCAGACCTTAGAGGGTGTGTAGATGTTTGTAAGGCCTTTGGCTTTTCTTTGGAGTGAGAATCAAAGCCCTTGGAGGGTTTGATCACACTTGCTTCTGAGTTGGGAATGGACCCTGAACATCTCCCCAGACCTTTAGTACCTTCTTTCTTATACTACCTTCTATTTTCTCTTGAATACTCTTGGCATTGCTTTGCCTGATTCTTGGTTATGAACCTGTTTATTCAAAATGATAGTATTCTGCTAATTTTTGCCAAAATTGAGAAAGTTTTAGAATTACTCTTAAATTTTAGCACTTCTGGAAAAAAACTATTGTCATAAAGTTTTGAGAATTTTCTTGTTTACCTGTTTAGTATGTATATGAGAATAATATACCATGACAAGTTAAGTTCGTTCCAGGAATGCAAGAATGATTTGACATTAGAAATTCTATTAATATAATTTATCACATTCATAACTTTTTAAAAAGGTCAACAATATGATCAGTTCCTTTGATGCTATGAAGGCATTTGATAAAATTCAACATCTATTTCTGATTTTAAGATCATATTAAAATGAAAATACATCTTTCATTGAAATTTGAAATACATATATTTTAAACCAAAAGCTAATAACACAAAATGCTGAATCAATAGAACTATTCCCGTTAATGCCAGAAGCTTGATAAGTATGCCTACTGCCATTCTTATTACTTAACATTGTTGCATGAATATTAGTGGATACAATTAACTAAAAAATAAGTTTCAAAAATAGGAAAGGAAGGTATAAAAGTATTATTATTTGCAAGTGATATGATTTTGAATACCTAAAAACCCCAAATTAATAAACTAATTATTACTGGAAACAATGAAAGATTGTATTTATTTATGCATATTTAACATAACTTTTTTATATACAATGAGAAAATGTGATGAAAAAAGATTTCTGATACAATAGCAAAGGAAATAATATCCTTTGAAATAAACTTAACATGCAGAATCTATGTGAAGAAAACTTCACCTCCTAGTAACATATGCAGAAGAACACTTAAAGAATTGGAAACAACATGTATTATTTTTGGATTTAAAGACTCAATATTGGACAGACATAGTGATTAATGTAATGTACATTATTGAATAAAGCAATTCTAGTTAAAATGTCAGTTTTTAGAATAAGCTGATTCTAAAATTCATATGGAAATTCACATAAGTGGACCCAAAATAAAACTTCTAGAAGAAAACGTGAATTATTTTATTTTTAAAGGCTTTTCTAATAATGGAGCTAAATCCTGAAGACCTAAAGGAAACAAGTGATAAATTTGACTAACATAAAAATCTGGAAAATAATCATAATACAGAATACCACAAAGATAAAAATGAACTGGGAAAATATTTACAATATGTTTATTTGGTAAGGAGCTATGTTCTCTGTAATATATAAAGAGAGCTCTTAAGGAAAATAACTTGATAGAAAAATGGGCGGTAGGAATAGGTAATTCATACCCACACACACACAAAGCAACATAAACAGCAAATAGAAGAAAAGATGCTGGGTCTCACCCACTATTAAAAGAATGGAAAAGTGAAACACTGAAACAACATTTTTCTCCTCTTAGATTGGCAAATATTTAAAAGTGTTGGTAGGAGTGTGTATGAGCAGGAACTCACGCCCGATTGGTGGGAGAGTAAATTGGTGCAATATTTTGTATGGCAATTTGTCAGTACTTTTTCAACTTTTAATTTATGTGTATTTTCAAAATTTATTTTGTGTGTACCCTTGATCCATCAGTTGCACTTCTAGTAATTTATCTCGTGAATATGTTGACATGTATGTAAGATACACACGAGGACGTTTATCACAGTGGTGTTTGCAATGGGAAAAACAAACTAAACTAAACTAGAAAGCACTTAATGTGTTCAGCAGTGGTCAGAGGACTGGTCAGATAAGTTATAGCACAACTCCAGAGTGGACTACTTTTTTCAGTTAGTCAACAGAATGAATTAGATTGGTTTGGATTGATATGGAAAGCTCTCTGAAACAAATTAAGAGTAAAAACAAGCAAAAATATAAACTAGAATTTATGGGCTAAGTTTGCATTTGTGGTGTTTAAAAAATGTAAGCTAGAATTTGTACACGTGAGTCAGTGGAAGGGTGCACACAATGTTGGTGATCTTTCAGGTTTTGAAGTGTGGGATAGAACGTGGGCTGTTTTCATTGCATATTCCCTTTTGAAAGCGGTTTAAATTTTGTTTATCGTGGGCATGTGCAATTTTCAGAATAAAAAATGTTTTTTTGCTTTCTGTGCATTAATTATATTTTTCTTGGATTTTTCCAGATTTCTCTTGCACTTTGTTTTGTTTTGATGTTTGGAAACTCAATGTTATTAACTTCTTATTATGCTTCCTCTTTGGTAATTATTTGGGTAAGTGTTCCTTAACTACATGGCTGTTTTTGAAACTAATGGTTCATCAGTTTCTTTATCACTGGTTTAGGAGTCGTGAGGGATTTTCTGTAAGAACCGCTCAAGTGTTTTACTGAATGCATCTATGTGTGATGGAGTGTTCAAGTCCTCACTTCCAAATCGGGAAAGAAATACAACAAAAGTTAATATTGGAAAACATAGCATGTTGCCTCTTAGTCCTAATTTGTCCTATCTTTCTCCTTCCTCATCTTTTCTGTCGCCTGAGTTTTAGCCCCAGGGTTCATTTTAGAAAGGTTTCTATGCTATCTGCTTTTTTCCTTGCCTTTTTTCAGTTTTTGTCCTGTTCTTGCTCCACTCTCTTTTCCTCCCTCTGGCATCTTGCAGCGGTCTCTCCTCCTTGTTCCGCTGTGATCAGAGGCTTGAGGTCTTGGTTTTGCAGGTTTTTCCCTCTTTGTCTCCTTTCGTGAAATATTCAGGTAGTTTAAATCAGGTGATGATTCAGTTATATTTTGCTAACTCACTATAAAAAACAGATTTCGATTATCAGGAGACTGTCTTAGAGAATTAGAGCAAACTGTGAAAGGTCATCTAACTCTTTCTGCCACTTTTGGCAGGATGACTTTCTAAATATAAATCTCCCTAAATTTAAGGACTTCCGGAAGTGGTTATGCCTTTTTTATTAGTGGGTTTCACCATTACAATGTTTTGCAAACCTAAGAGGAAAGAACTTCTTCCTTATGTTTAAAGTGCATGTGCTTTAGCATGATGCCGGTTTCCTGAAGAGGAAGGATATTGTGCTGTCTTAACTGAAATGTATCCTGCTCCTTGCATAATCATTTAGGTTACTCAGGTCATTTCCGCTTTCTTGATTTCTAGAACCAATGAACAAATTTGGGACCTCCTATTTCTTTGTCCCATTTTACAAATAATATTTAAGATCCCGTTTCCCAAGAATATATCTCCTCCCAGTCTAGACTGCCATCCTTTTCAAGTGGTGTGACTCGAGTGTACTTAATCACAGAAATTAGCAGTTAGCATATGGTGATGCTGTGTTTCAACAATGAAAAAAATCATTAGTTGAGTTGCTGTGCTTTGAGATTAATGATAGTTCTTAATCATTGAATTCTGTTTGTAATTAGGAAATGTGACAGTGTACTCAGTTCTGTATTTTACATGTATATGCAAACAAGTCCTGGTATTACTCAGGTTAAAGTCTTGACTCTTGGTACTTGCGTACAGGGAAACCATTGAATGGAAAATTGCATATCAGTAAAGTCTAATCTAAGTACATTTTGCAGGAAATTTCTCTTCAGTTTAGTTGAACACCTACAGTGTGTCAATTTTCCTACTAGGTGCTTGACACCAAGGTGCGTCTTAGGTATGAACTGAGCAGATTTGTGTATATTTCATATATTTTGATGTGTAAAAATAAGTATTGCCAACCATTACAGAATATAGCATGTTTTTGAATATTTAACTATGAACACACGTTTGCCTATTTTTATTTATTCTTATTAGTTTGAAATCCAAACCTTATCACATTTTGTATTCTCAGATATTCAGAAACTTCTGAAAAGATTTAATTTTGGTTCATATATTTGTATTTTGATCTCCAGCCATATTTTCCCCAAGTTTGAAGTAGATTTGGATCAATATAGGTACTGTACTTTGGGAGGCTATTATGGACCTGGAAAGACACAAGATTTGATAGAGGAGAAGTACTTAGCTGATCCATTTAAAACTGATTTGTAGTTTATTCTAAGAGTTAATCATATTTAACTTAAGGAAAACCTTATGACTATAAGACACCTGTCTAAAATTCTAAAATTATTACATACTACTTAGGTAAATCAGAGATGTAAAATCAACCATAGAAATATATATATATACACACACATGGTGATTCTGTTTTCAACCCTACAAATTCACTAACTGCCCTAATCTACGTTGGATAACAGAGGGCTATGTCTTGAAGGCAGTGAGCATGTGGTAATGCTATGTGGAACATCGACAGTGTGCTGAATTTTAGATTCTTGACAGTCCTAATATTTAGATATATTTTTTGGTACTTGAATTTATGTCTATAAGTATTAACTGTATGCTATGCTATTTTCTCCATGCAGGGTATACTGGCAATGAAACCACATTTCCTGAGAATAAATGTATCTGAACTTAGTTTATGGGTAAGAATCAATCTATTTGAATGCATATTTTTTCTTCTGTAAAATATATCTTTAGTTTTATGTTTTACTTTTAAGGAAATGATCTATGTAATTCAGGGGATCTCATAGTTTTGTAACATATTAGGGCTCAAATTTTAATGTGCCAAATTGCCCTTTTCATGAAGCAAGCTAAGATTAATATTGAATAGTCAGTTAAAGAATTTCAGTTTTGTTTATTTTATTAGCCATGTTTTTTCTGAGGAGCAGTGCATGTGTAAGAAACTATTAGTAGAAGGAGAATTAACTGCAATTGCTGTATGTCTCCTATAAAATATATTAATTTTGATAAGATTGTATGTGTATATTTTTGTTTTTACTGATAGCCCCTTGATTTTGGAGTAACGTTCTTTATTTTAATTTAAGTTGCATTTTTTAGCATTTTCTCTTGGATCTGGAGATAATTATTTCATGTATGATTAAAGCATTTATTTTTTTTCTTCCTAGGCTATGTCTATGGAATGGCTATGTGAAATGTTGGTCTATTTTTGTTTTGTTATATTTTTCTTTTGTAGGTTATCCAAGGATGTTTTTGGTTGTTTGGAACTGTCATACTCAAGTATTTGACATCTAAAATCTTTGGCATTGCAGATGATGTAAGTGCATTTTTGCTTAAACTTGAAAGGCTTGAACAGAAATCAGACAGGCTAAGAATGGATTACCCGAGTTATTAAAGTACCATTATTGAAACCAAATTCTAAGATGAAGTCTGTTCACCTGTTATTTTATCTATTTATTAGACTAGAAAGTAAATGTGACTATGAATATAGTCTCTATTCTCCCCAATTAATTTTTTTTACACAGTTCTCTCATTTTACTGGTCTTTCTACATCATAAAGATTTTAAAATTTTAAAGCAAGAAAGCTCTAGAGACTTAACCTCAAATTTTAAGCTCTATTCAGGCATTTTTCTCTGGCTTCTTTATAATCCCCTCTTGTAACAAATAAAGATGCCATCCTCAGAGCCTCTTAAACTATATACATCGTATTATAGTCTCATTCTCTTTTTCCTCCAGTTTTCTGGTCAGTGCTTGTGAAAGGTTTGTTTATAAGCCTTTATAGGTAATTTAATCCAAGTTAGTCCTCTTAAGAGAGGTTTTGTTGTTGGTTTGTTTGCTTTGTTTTGGTATTTGGATAGGAGAGAAAATAAAATGAGAAGAATTCTGCTTTATTATTTTAAGGATTCTTCCTATCCATAATTTTGCGCTGCCTGTTTTATTTTGGTGTTTTAGTAAGCACATTAACTAAATGAAAAGAGAAAGCAACACAACAACTGACACAGAAAGAGCAACGTAAATCACATGTGTTTTCTGCAATTTATTTGAATTGGCTATCTTTCCTCCTCCTGTGGTGGATGAAAGCTATGGACTTGAAACTGGGTTCTGTGAAGTCCTGGGACTTCTAAAGACTCTTCTGTGGCATCCGTTTGCTTCCCAGTCCCCCTGCCAGCCCTCTTTCGCCAAGGGCAGTTTACTTTATTCTCCTACATATTGGACATTTATACAGGTTTTCGTATGGATAAGGGAATGTTTCACTTAAAAAAGATCGAAAACAACTGAACTTTTAAATGAGTAGTCTACAACTGTGAAAAGATTTTTAAAAGTATAAAACTGTAGTCTAAAATGTATTTATTCATTCATTCAATATGTACTTGCTATGCGCCTGGCAGTAGAATGCATCCTAGAGAAACAAAACTGAATACCACTGGTCTAGTGGGAGATAGGAACGGTTTCTAGCAAATATAATGCAATGTAATACGCTATGGTAAAGATAAGTACACAGTGCTGCAGGAATCCACAGGGGGAGAGTCAGGGAAGGCTCCTACAAGTCAGGGATGAAGATGGAAGCTCAAAGGTGATTGTTGGCCAGGATGCAGAGAACGAGGAGGAGGAGAAGTGAGATAGCCCAAGTCCTAGGTTTATGGAGTCTGTCTTCTCACTGGGGGAAGGCAAGCCAGTTAAGGTATTGATTCAGGTTAAATTGACTACTGTCATTTCTGTCACAGCCTGATGTTGTACCAGGGCCAAAAGAAGTGCTACAATAACAGTTATTTCCAGATTAGAAATAATTTAGTTGCAACTTTAATATGTCTAGAAATCTATAACATTGATCAAGGGCATCAGCTCATAAATTCTTAATTTTGACATTGATCAAAGGAAAGGAATGGCAAGGTTGCATAGCTCTTGAGAAGCATTTCCACCCACCCTTCTCTATTAAGATAATCAGAAGCACTTCCCTTCCCAGAACCAAGTGAGCTATTTCTTAGTATATCCTGGATTTCCCATCCCTGCTCCTGTCAACTCTCTTTTTGGTAGAAGCCTAATGTTGTCTACTAGGGCAGCTCAGTATTCAGTGCCCCAGGGTTTACACTGGAGTCTGGTTACATAGGCACCCTCTGCCTAGCGTGTGTCAAAATTCCAGACTCCCAGAAGGAGTGTAGGTGTTCAGCATAAAGCACGTTGTTTGTACAGTTTAGGTACAGTGAGCCACTGTTATCATTTAGGGTGGTGGGAGCCTTCCAAAATCATGTTTCCTGATGCCAGCCAAGGGCCAGCCTTGCTAGCAGGTTTTTCAAAGGATAGCATTCAGGCCTGCTGTGTTAACTCTTATCTGAATATCAGATTGGCCCTTCTTTTTCTGTCTGCCCCACCTTCTTGGATCTTCCATGAATGTATACAGCACCTCCCAGTCAGTCATTGATTTGTAGAGAGTTTGGGCTCTCTTGGATCCCCCAGCGCATGTATGCAGCTTTCTGGTCCACCAGGGATGTGAGAACTTACCTACCCCTTGTTGCTTGTCTCATTTCCAGAATCTCTAAGATATGTTAGCTTGTTTGCCAGTCTGCTGTTCACAGCACCGGGACTGCAACCTTAAGCTGGCAGAGCTGTGAGCTTTTGCCTTTCATTTCCTACTGAGTTTGCTACTTTTACTGACAGTGCCTCTGAGCATAGATTTTTTTGTTCTCTGCACCAAAACAAGTTAGCTCCCTCCAGGAGCGAAGGTTCTACTTTTCATGGCCAGCCTGGCCCTGGTGGAACTACTATGCCTACCAAGCTGGGGGAGGTGGTGGTGGTGCTCATGGTAGGTGGGAGCAACCTAGGCAAGAATGCCAGACTCCCACTATTTCTACCCAAAGTTCATCATTTTTTTAAATAAATGAATATTTCTCCATTTGTTTTCCTTTTGGTCAATTTCTAGAACCTGATGTGGTTTTTGAGAGTTTTGTCCAATTTTGTAGTTGTTATTGGGGAAGGGGATTTGCCCGCGTCTTCCTCTGCCACATCTAGATTTTTGAGTGTTGGTCCAGCCTTGTGTTTCTCAGATAACCTCACTTGCTCACGATGTGTTATTCTTTCTTGATGTTGCTGGATTGGGTTGGCTAATATTTTTAAGGATTTTTGCCTATATTCATGAGTAGTATTAGGCTGTAGTTTTATTTTCTTGTAATGTTTTTGTCTGGTTTTGGTTTTAAGGTAACATTAGCTTCCTAAAATTATTGGGAAGTGTTTACTCTCCTGTTTTCAAAGAGAATTTGTGTAGAATTGGTGTTATTTCTCCCTTAAATGTTTGGTAGAATCCGAGTGAAACCCGCAGGGCCTGGAGTTTGCTTCATGGAGGATTTTCTACTACGAATCTGCTTCCTTAAGAAGTTATTGGTAGTTTATGTCTTTAGAGGAAACGTACCCGTTATCATATATATCATCAAACAGATCTTGTTTTTAAAAAATTATTGTAGGATTCAGTTGACAAAAGTTCTTATTGAAATTTTTGCATATATATGGAATGATCTTTTATACTCTTTTATGTAGTTTTTCTTATTTAGAGTCAATATTTTATTAGTCTCCTATAAAGAGATGTTCTTTTCTTTTTGCTATTGTTCCTACTTTCTATTTATCATACTACTATTTTCAAAGTACCCCCTTTTTTAAGTCCTCTTTGTCGTATTTCTTTTTGTCACTGAATTCAGTCATCCTCATTTCCTTCTCATTTCTTCGGGCTAGTTCTGTAGCTTTTTCTGATGCTTGAGGGAAAGTGCTTGGCTCTTTTGTTTTCACCCTCTCTTATTTTCTGATAAATGCATTTAAAGCTGTGAATTTCCCTATAAATAGCACTTTTCTGTGTGTCTTACAAACCAGCTTTATTTTCTGATTTTATTTTTACCTGAGGGTTAAGTTATATGTTACTTAGTTTCTAGCCAAAGGATTTTTAAAGTCATTTCTAGTTCTCATTTTCCAATTTTATTGCATTTATGATTAGAAAAAATTTGTATGATATGAATTCTTTGAAATTTATTTTGGCATGGTGTGTAAACACTTTAAAAAATATATTTTCTGGGGCCAGCCCCACGGCTGAGTGGTTAAAGTTCCTGTGCTCCTCCTCGGTGGCCTTGGTTCACCAGTTCAGATCCTGGGCACAGACCTAGTCCACTCATCCGCCATGCTCTGGAGGCATCCCAAATACAAAGTAGAGGAAGATTGGCACAGATGTTAGCTCAGGGCTAATCTTCCTCAAGCAAAAAAAGAGGAACATTGCCAAAGAATGTTAGCTCAGGGCCAATCTTCCTCAGCAAAAATAAATAAATAAAAATTTTACTTGTGTTTGAGGATAACATGTGTTCTCTTTTTGTGAAGTTTGTATTCTGTTTGTGAGCTTATTAATAGTATTATTTAGATGTTAACGTTTGTCTACTTTTTCTCTTTTAGAGGGAAATTTTTAACATTTCCAGTGAACACTGTCAACTTATCAATTTCTTCCTACTGTTTTTTCAGTTGTTCTTGTATACACTTTGAGTCTACACTGTTAGCTGCAAATATGTTTATGATATATACGATCTTGCTTTGCTGTTTATTTTACCAGCATATTCTGTCATTCGTTTTCTCTTTTCATATATTTTTTGCTTGAATTCAGTTTTGTGAAACATTACAATTGCTAACCTAGATTTCTTTGGTTCACTTTATCTGGTCTATCTTGTTCTTTTCTTCTATTTTCAACCTTTCTGCATACTTTTGTTTTAAGTATGTTTTTTGTAGATAATATAATATTGGATCTTTTTTCCTTAAGTTTAACTTGAGGATCTATCCTTTATATGTATGGCAAATATTGTTATATTGGGACTTCTTTCTTCCATTTTATTTGAGATTTTTCAACTATCTTACTTGCTTTTTAGATTTTTTTCTCCTGTTCATTGAATAGATAATTTTCTTATGCTATTTTAGGCGCTATATATTCTCCCTATTGTTTCTTAAACTTATCAGCGTATATTTCTTCCCCAACAAGGGAAAATATTTGAGATTCTTCAGCACATTCCCACCACCCTTTAATTTCTACTCTCGCCCACATCCCCTACTTATGTAGGTTTCCTTTAGGGTTTTAGTTATGGTTTGTCTTAGATACAGTTTCCCCCCTTTTCTTTGGTCCTTGCTTTTTTAGACAATAATGAATTGAAAGTTTGGTAACTGTTTTCTTATTTGTTAAATGAAAGTAATTCCACCTTCCTCACATGGCTTTTGTGGGAAGTGGATGAGGTGACATAAGTGAGAGCACTTGGTGACTTGTAAAGAACTACACAATATTGATTGTCAGTCAAAAGGTGCATTTTACTCCATGTCCTGCCCAATTTCTACTTCTTTCAAAAAGTCTTGTCAATCCCCTTTTCAGAAATCTGAATCACTCATTCCTATTCTTAACTCCATTGCACTTGTCCCTTTGTGATTGACAGACATCTGTGTGTGTTACCAAGCCCATTCCAGCGAAGGAGATATTGTGCAGTGCATTTCACCAGCTTTAGCACATTGAGCAGGGAAAACCCAGGGATAAAAGCCTTAGGGATGACAGTGATTGATTGTGGAAGGCAGGATGGTGTTGGAGCTATCATCTATCAGCAAAAGAAGGGAGAACTGAAGTTGGGCGGCATGGCACTTTCTTCTGTAACAGAAGCATGCCTGGCATGGGAACAGTGAGCTCTATAATGGGGTGAAGACTACTTTTAGATACTATTAAGGTTAAATGCATTAGTACAATACATGACATAATCTAATGGTACGTCACTTTATTCCTTCCTAGGCTCATATTGGCAACCTGTTAACATCAAAATTCTTCAGTTACAAGGATTTTGATACTTTATTGTATACCTGTGCAGCAGAGTTTGACTTTATGGAGAAGGAGGTAAGATGTGCTTTCAAATTTTCTTTCCTTAGGTTTTGGTCCGTTCGTTTTGCATAAAGGGTGCTCCTGTTATTTCAGATTCTCTCCTCTGTGCTGTTAGCTCAGTTTGAAGGGAAGGGAAAATCTGGCAGCTTAGAGGAAGATGTTCCTATTTACATTAGTACAGCTCCCTGAAATATATGGTCTTTTCTCATTTTGATAATTTAGAAACATATTCAGTCTAGCAGTAGTTTTTCGGATAAGTAAACATAGAGGCTTTTCAAGTGGCCTCTTTTCAGGAATGGTATTAATTCAGGGATGCTCTCGAGCTCTTACATTTCCGCTCGTTCTGTGGTTGGTTGTTTGAATGATCTCATTGCTTTAAAATATCATTGAGTACAAGTTTTTCATTCCAACAGCATTCTTCTTTCTAAAACTGTATTCAGATGTGTGGCAGGAAAGCAGAGAGTAGTGGCTTGTGAGACAGAAGTCTGCAATATTACTTGCTGTGCTTGAGCAAGTGACGCTTATTCTTTGTGTCACAGCTTACGTGTTTCTAGTAGTATGCTACACACAGATATTGTGAGGACAAAATGAGAAACATAGGAAAGTACTTTGACATTGTAATGGTATTTTACATAAAATGTTATTTTGCAGTCCTTTATGAGCTGGTTTAGTTCAACAAACACATATACATAATATGTCTTTTTTAACACCACCCATGTGGCCCTGATTTATTATATTTTATTATCAGTGAAACATTTTCCTTCAAAGCTGTATGTGTATATGTGGTAAAGTGGCCATCAGTACTCTGTTGACACATTCGTTTTCCCCCTTGAGCCCCACTGGGTTAGCCCCATGTCCTGAGTTACAGACCAGTGGACAATAGTGCATCACGCTGCAGACTCTTGTCAATCAGGCCTTCTGAGTTGAGCGTGTCCTAAAGATGTACTGTTTACTCCAGCAACCTGTCAGTCTTCATTTCCTGTGTTCTGGCAAATGATTTTGACACGTAATGGCTGGTAAAAAGTGTACAGGTGATAGTTTCAAACCTGCCTAAAGAAACTAAAGAAACTAAGGAAGAGTATCTTGCAAGACATTAAAATGCTTGTTCAGAGCAAATCAAGACTCTCTTAAGGAAGTGGTAAAGGAAGTAGATGGTAAACATCAGCAGAGAATTAGAACTGACTGGAAGTCCTTTCACATTATTGAGGATATACATGCCGCTACATCCTGAGAGCATGAGCCATCAGTTATGTGATAGAAGAAATTGTTTATTGAGGCATAGCATGACTTCAGTCAATTTGAAAAAAAGGGCAGAGCTGTTTCTAGCCTGCCGTTTCCCATCTCCATGCATATCTTCACAAGGACTGTGCTGAAGAGACAAGAGTATGGTGCCAGTTCAGAGAGTGCATCCATTGTGTGGTACGTCCATATAGTGGGGAAAAGGGAACAGTTTAACATGATATCATACTGATATGGAAAGACACTTATGATGTATAATGGAGTGAGCAAAATGGTACGATCTTATTTACCTATAATTAGCACACACAGAATAAAGTATAAGAGAGCAAAATTTTAATAGTGGTTTTTGGGTAGAGAGATAATCAATGGTTAACTTTTTTTGTAATTTGCATCTTCTAAATTTTCTACAATAATCATATTTTAATTGTATTATCTTATTAAAAGAATTAAAAATGACATGAAATGAAATGGAAATGAAATGAAGGAAATGAAAATGGATAGCAACAGTATTTAAAGTATACAGATACTAAGACAGGAACATTTTTATGGCCAAAAATAGACAATGCTGGGTAGACCCAGGTGTATGTACTTAGCACGGTTTTTGTGTATGTACTTAATATGAACTGCAGGCAGCATCGTGGATAAATGGGTAAAAGATGTATTATTTAAGGAATATTATTTAAAAAATTGGATTTGGGCTGGGAGGTCAGGTGAAAGCCTTGTATCACATTATACATCAAACTTCGTTATAGTTGGTTTGTGTGTTAAAAATAAGTGAAGCCTGAAAAATAAATTTGAGAGACATTTCAATGAATATTAACTTCATTCTTTAATGAGCATAATACTAGTATAAGAACTTATATGAGAATGCTTAATAGATTTGTCTGCATGTAACTTAAAACATCTGTACATGAAATATTGTAAAAATTAAGAAGCAAATGACTAACTGAAATGATTCTTGCCATAATAGAACAAATGAAACTAGAGCTTAATATAATTACTATAGGAGCTTGTCCAAATCAATAAAAACCATTATCAAGGACTCTTCTCCCTCCCCACCACTGAAAACACATCCCCACCCCCCACACACATGCAGAAACGGGTGAAGACTGTGAACAGACAGTCCTTTGGGGAGGAAATACTGATAACTGATTAAAATGTAAAATTGATTGTCGTCTTTATTTTGCTACATTTTCTAGCTTTTACAATGAGCGTATATAACTACTTTTATGCTTAGGATAAAATCAACAATTACAACGAAATATTAAAATAAAAGGACTTGTAATTCTAATACAACACACACATGCAGGTGTGGATTGTGTCCTTTGCAGTTGTTCTTGTGCGTATACACTCTCTGGCATATCTTTTGGTACTCAGGAAGTTTCATAGTTTTGTTTCGTTTATATTAGCACATTTATATGTTAACCTTGGTCCCCTGTATTGATTTCCTCTTGAGAGTTATCCTAAACTTAGTCACTTCTTGCCCCTCCCCTACTTCCCACACATTTGTAATTTATTGTAATGCTATAATCAGTGAGATGATTTTACTTCCTATATATTCTCCCTCTCTTACCTCATCTAAGAGTCTCATGACTTCTACATTGCCGGCACGTATAACTGCTCATACTGTCATACACCCCTGTTGTTGTAGTTCCGTAGGTCATTGTTTTTAATGCTCACTATGATTTCTGGGCTTGAAGCCCTCCCTGCCATTTCTTGGTTGTGTGAATCTTGCTCTTCAGTGGATTCCTCAGGAAGGGCTCATGAGAGCCTTACGCCTGAGTTTTTACATGTTCAAAATATTTTATCCATGTCCTTTGTACATGAAGGTCAGTTTGGCTGGATACAAAATCTTTGGCTCATCTATCTTTCCTTGAGTATCTTGAATAAGTTACTCCACTATCATCTAGTCTAAAGTATTGCTGTCAAATCTGATGCTAATCTGATTTTCTTTTTAAGAGAAATACTAAAAAATACCTTTTAAGCAAACTCCTGGAATGTAATGTTAAAATTGTTTGAACTCTGTTAAATTTTGTTAAATATAAATATAAATATGTTTAATGTAATTTTGACACATTGCCTTTTTTAGGCAAACACCTGTATCTTACAACTTTTCTTACATTTATTGTTGTTATTAGCAAATGTCTAATTTTTCAAGTAGTAAAATAGTTTTGGTTATATTATTTTTGCTTAGGTTAAGACAATTTAAAATTTATACGTTAGAATTATGTTTATGTATTTTAAAGTATAAAATACTATCCAAATGTTTATAAAGGTAAATAGTAAGATAAAAACATAAAAATTCTCTGTTTAATGGGACTTCTAACACATGAAGTATGCATTTTGTATAATAAATTATCAAAATTACTTGTCTGATGCAGAACAATGAGTGAGAAAATTGGACTAATGAAAAGCAAAATCAGAAAATGCTACTTACTGTATACTTTGTAGAATTAAAATGTACCAGTGTTTTTAATATGGTTGAAGCTAGATTTCTCTTTATAAACATATTTGGGAAAGCATACATTATTTGACTCAATAATTATTGATAAGATTATTTTTGTGGGGAAAAGTGTGGTGGTAATCAAATCAATTGCAGTTTAGAAATTTCAAGCCCAGGGTTGTTTAAAACTGTGATGTCAAATGATTGACATGTGTATAGGATTGCAGTGTGTGGGGCTTTGTTGTTAAAATGTAAAAATGCTTTTATTCCTCTTGCAAACATTGGTCATTATTTTGTGTGCGTGTGTGTATGTGCATGGATCGTGGGATCATGGTTAAGATTTTTATCCCCCACAAAATGTGCAGGAAAAGTTCATGCCGTTTAAAGGGGTTCTGCTGATGTTAGATGAATATTAAGTTGGGCTCTCTAGTTAGAAAAGTAGTGTGCAAAAAGTGAACGGTGATCTCTATGGTCACATTTTATACTAACAAGTGTTTAGGGACTGTATTTGTTAGTGTTTTCAATTCAACATTTTGGAGAGTTTTGTTTCTATGGACATGCATCTTCATTTTTGTGATGGGAATCAGTGGGTAGATTGGACCCTAGATGGGTGACTGCTCATGTTTCTCTACTTTAGCTTTCTAAAGTTCATTTGGTTCATTATTTGAAATGAAATTTTGTCTGTTTAAAACAACATTTTCCTCTAACAAAACGTCTCTGAATTTCAGACTCCACTGCGGTATACAAAGACGTTATTGCTTCCGGTTGTTCTTGTCGTGTTTATTGCAATTGTTAGAAAGGTATGTCCATTGCTTTAAGAGCTCTTTCTTATAATAAAACATTTTCTTGTTTCTACGTAGTAGTTACATATACTAGACTATGTGTTAGACACAATGTTTTTTAGATTTATTGAAACATATTCTGTATTTTCTTTCTAATAACCTTTGATGAAAATTTATAGGCCTTAAATATATTCTGGTATCTGCCAGCATAAAATAGACATAGGAAAAGGATGGCTCAAGTTTTGATAGTCGTGTATTTGGAAAGACATGATCATAGAGGCCATATTGACCCAGACAATTGTTTTTGCCTGTGTAAATTATTACTGACTCACTTTTCTTCTATGTAATATTTCCCTAATATTTAATATATGCCTTTCTAAATAATTTGTGCAGTCTTCACTAACTCCTGGATCGAGTTTATTATTAATTGAAAGAAAAAATAGAATATTAACAATGTATTACTAAACTTGATAAAATAGTTAGACTCCCAACTTGGCTTTGATAATGAAATTCTAAGCCCAGATATGAATCAGGCCAGGGAAGTTCCAATCTTTAGTGAAGAGCGGGTGTGATATTCTTTTTTCTTTTAAGAGTTGGTGAATTCTGTAACTGCAAGTATTTTAAGAGAATGAATTGAGATTAATCTGTAATCAAAAAACAGATGATAGACCCTGAAAGCTTTCTGATTTGTAGGTAGTGATGTCTGTGTTAACACAATGCCATATTATTTGTAGAATATTCCGTACTATAATTATTGTTCACATTTATATATTTGTACTTTCCCAAAACATTCAGGTTTGTTATTTCAATTGGTTATTCAACAGCCCTGTGGGATACAGATATTATTATCCCCATTTTGACAGATACAGAATTGGGAGACCAGAGAGGTTGTTACCTGTCTTACATCGTGTCCATTAAAAAGCAAGAGAAGAGCAAGAATCAGACTCTGCACCTTTCCCCCCTCATTGGATGTAGATAGTATTCAGTTTTGTAGTCTCACAGCCGTTTCAAGTCTGATCAGTTTATGGTTAGTCAGTTTCTGCTGTGTGCCAGGCTCTTTGCTCCCTTCGTACTTTTGCATCCTTTGTGTGGGCGGGCATCCTAGTAGGTAGCTGGGATGTTTGATTTAAAGAAGAATGACTCAAATAGAAAGTGGACAGTTATTTTCAAATGTTTAAAAGCCTGCCAAATGAAAATAAGATTACACTCATTTTGGCTCCTTAGAATTATGGTCAATTCCAGGAGGTAGGACTTTTGACCAGAATTGGTCTGGACTGAGTAGGAAAGTGTTGTAGACTGAAGCACCAGCTGGGTGGTTCTTCCAAGAGCTGGATTAAAACCTGTCAGCAGTGTCATAGAGGACATCCGTACTGGGGATGGGATTTCAGATTAGATGACCTGCCAGGTACTGCTAACTATGAAAACACAGCATTAGCTAGTTGTGCTTATCAGTCTCTGAGCCAGTTCTCCAGTTACATGTGTGTATGGTTAAGGAGAGGCATTGCCAACAACCTTGGAATGGTGGAATTCACTGAATGTGAATCAGAAGCCAAAAGATCAGGTTTTAAGACCCAGAAATGCTGCTTAGCTGTTGTCCGGCTTTAGGAAGATCGTTTAATGCATCTGAGCCTGTTGCTCATTTACAAAATGAGGATAATAAAATCTGCCTGAACACGGTTGTTGGGTATTAGATATGGTCAAGTACTGTACAAATGTAAGATTATGTTGTAATTATTACGATTTTCTGAGTCATCTCCATACTTGTTATATATTTTTTTTTTTTTTTTTTTTTTTTTTTAAAGATTTTATTTTTTCCTTTTTCTCCCCAAAGCCCCCCGGTACATAGTTGTGTACTCTTCGTTGTGGGTTTCTCTAGTTGTGGCATGTGGGACGCCGCCTCAGCGTGGTCCGACGAGCAGCGCATGTCCGCGCCCAGGATTCGAACCGACGAAACACTGGGCCGCCTGCAGCGGAGCGCGCGAACTTAACCACTCAGCCACGGGGCCAGCCCATACTTGTTATATTTTTAAGTAAAAGTTTGACAGTTTAGAAGATGCTTTAGTCAAAGTTTTGTTTTTCCCAAAACAGCTGTCTTAAAGTGTTTCAAAATCTATTTGCAGATTGTTAGTGACATGTGGGGTGTCTTAACTAAACAACAGACACATATAAGGTAAATATGCTATTAATAATTTTGTTACTTCCTCCATTCATTAAGTAGATATTTACAATGTATTTATTTTATAGTTACCTGTTGTACACTCAACATTTGATAATTGACGTTTTCGATTGTTGTCATCCCCCTTCTTTGCTTCTCTCATTATTTCCTGTCTGTGCAGAGCTCAGCACATCAGTTATTCATACTCACATCCCATCCATTCCAATCTGACAGGAACCCTACACATAATCTATACTTGAAGGACACAGCTTTATGCTTCAGTTGAACAGGGAAAATAAATTATTCTGTTGATGGTTCTAGGACTAATGGACTGCTTTTTCAGAGGAGAGCAGGGAAGTATAAAACTGGATCCAGGGGCTGGCCCGGTGGCACAGTGGTTAAGTGTGCACATTCCGATTCAGCAGCCTGGGGTTCATCAGTTCAGATCCCAGGTGTGGACATGGCACCATGTGGCAAGCCATGCTGTGGTAGGCATCCCACATATAAAGTAGAGAAAGATGGGCACGGGTGTTAGCTCAGGGCCAATCTTCCTCAGAAAAATGGAGGAGGATTGGCAGAAGTTAGCTCAGGGCTAATCTTCCTCAGAAAAAAAACTGGATCCATACCTTACTTTTTACACAAAATAAACTCCAGATGGAATAAAGATTTAAATATAGAAAAAAATGAAACCTCGAAACTAACCGGGGAATTATTTTTATAATTTTAGCCTTAGAGAGGCCTTGTTAAGTATGACATAAAACCTGTAAGCTAGAAGGAAAGACTGACAAGGTTGACCAAATAAATACCTTGATTTGGTAAGTTCTGTAAGCATTGTTCAAAGAAAAAGAGAAATTGGGGAAAGTATTTGCAATATATGACAAAGGACTAATGAGCATCATATATAAAGAACTTCTATAAATTAATAAGAATAATACTAAAAGTCCATTAGAAAAATGAGTAAAGGACACAGGCAGGCAATTGAGACAAAAGTTCTCATCTTCCCTTTCCCACTGCGCTCGCGTCCCCCGGGCCTCCTTCCCTTGAACCACGGCCAGTTGCTTCCCGCCTGGGCAGTCTTGCAGTAGTACTAAGCCCGTAATTGTGCTCCCTGCCTCCCACCTCCTACATGTCTCTTTCTTCAAGAAGCCTTTCCTGACCATCATTTCTGAGTAGTCTCCCTGGTATTCTCCACCATCACACCCTTTATCTTTCTCTCAGCATCTGTCACCATTTGTATTTAAATACTGATGTTGCCTGTCTCTCCTGAAGGGGGAGGGGTCATTTATGTTGAACAGTTTGTATGCAATGCCTGGCACACAGTAAAGAATAGTAGTTGAGTGAGTGAAGACACATAACTAATAGATAGATGAAGAAATGCTCAATCCCCTGATAAAGGTAAAGGAGAACTTTTTTTTTTAAATCAGGTTTGTAAAGATTTATCATACCCAGTGCTTGCAGGGGTGGGAGGAAGTAGTTGGGCGGGCAGTTTGGCAATGACTAGCAAAACTTACAGTGGGCCTGTCCTTCAGCCCAGCAGTCCCACCAATGCAAATGTGTCCTCTAGAAATGCTCACAGGGATGCAGCGATAATGGTACAGAGATGCCTGTTGTGGTTGTGTGTGTAATATGAAAAATGAAACAACCAAAATATCCACTAGTAAGGCATTGGTTTAATTATGACCCAATCATATAATGGAATGCTGGGCCATCTTTATGGAAATATTTCCATCATACGTCATTGAATTAAAAAATTACGAAACAGTATATAGAATGATTACACTTTTGTTTAAAATTTGAAGATTTTGTGTGCTTATTTGTGCATAGGAGGGATCTGGAGGATAAAACCTGTAACTATTAAGAGCATGGGATTGGAGATTGGAGTAAAGAAAGTTTTAATTTTACTTTCATTCTTTTGTGGGATTTTTTAGGGGGTAGAGTTTGTTGAATTTATGTGTGTCTGTATTTTCTTTTATAACTGGAATACACACAGCCTTATATATTATTCTCTCACCTCCAAATTTCTACCAACCAGTGATAAATTATTGCATGTACTCTTGAGACAATCCTTATTCTTATTTAGAAACAATTTGCTGTAACTGTGCCCTTGCTTATACTGAAGCTTTGAAGGCCAGGGGAAAAGGAAAAAGTTTCTGGTATATAATGCCAGAATTTCTCTTCACTTTGAGATGAAGTCATTTCTGAAGAGCTCGGGAAGGAGCTATGAAGTTACAGCTATAGTATGAAGCTCTGGAAGAGAAAGGTGGAACTTTTCACAGAAACAAAGCAGGCCTTTGAAGAATAACTCAACCTATAGAAATAATTGCGAAAACCACTGAACTTCATGGGGTTTTCAATTCAAGTAGGATCAGAGCTTTTTTGAAAGGAGGATGGAACATTGACATTTCATTTACATAAGTTCTAAAGTAATACGCCAATATAAAAAGGGGATGGGTAGGAGATACATTTTAGTTATCAAGATGTGAGTACCAGTATCCCCTTTATTCAGGGACCTAAGGGGTAAAGTAAGATAGAGGCAGCATGATGTAGTAGAAAATATTTTGCCTCTGAGATCAGTCAAAATATAGACCTGCCTTTGTCACTTAGCAGCTCTGTGACTCGCTTTCCTTGGTTGTAAACTGGGATAATAAATAGTTGTAAGATCAGAGTTAATGGGATATACTGAGCATTTTAACATTGTAGGTGCTCAATAAATGGTAACTGGTAATTTTTGCTTGGCATGAAAGAAGAATAAAGAAAAATCCATTTCACTTCCTTCATTTGCCCTATATTTTACTGAGTTTGTTACTACATCAGTATTTTTGAAACCAAATTCTCAAGTCAGATTATGTGCTACCTGGATTAGGGGTTAATTTAATCATTTGTTCATTCATTTAAAAAAAAATTGAGCTTTATGTGCCAGGCAGTGTTCTAGGCCTTGGAAATATATCAGTGCTCAAGATAGCAAAGGTGTGTGTTACCAGTTCACACATTTGTATCTCTGACCCAGACTTCTCCCTTGAACTCAGATTTGTACATGTGACTCTCTGTTTGTCATCTCTACTTGAGTGTCCAGTGGAAGTGTCAAATTTTGTGAACAGAAAACTGAACCTCTGAATGTACCCCTGCCAGCATGCTTCTCCTGCATCTTCCCATCTCACGTAGCACCACCCTTCCCCCCCACGCTCTCTCTTCTCTCATCAGGCTGTCTTTGTTGTAAGCCCACTGAGGACCTTCCTACCATGGGGCTTTGCATTGTCTGTTCTCTCTGCCCGAAGTGCTCTTCCCTGAGGGATCTCAGGCTCAACCTCTCAGCTCCTCGGGCCATGCTGAAATGTCACTCAATTGGTGACCACACTGATTAATAGATGCCTTTCCAGTCCCCCAACACTCTGTTCATCTTTTACCCTGTTTCCTTTCTCTCTGTAGTACTTACTGCCATCTGATGTTCTATTTATTTGCTTTTTGTCTGTCTCCTTCGATTTACATGTAAGCTCTGTGAGGGCAAAGGTTTTTTTCCATCCTGCTTACTGATGTTTCTTTGGTGTCATCTGTGCTCAATGAAATTGAGTGGAGGGATCGGTTTGTACCTTTTACTCCTGAAGGGTTCATTTTAGTAGGGAGAGACACATGATCACTGAGTAATCTGATAAATGGAAATTTGGTTTTCTATGGGAAGACAAAGCAGACAAGTGGAGTAGGAGTGGTTAAGGAGAGGGGCACTGAACGGGGGAGACACAGGTGCCTCTGTGATGTTTGAAGGAGCAAAATTAGTCTAGCGTGGCTGGAGCACAGTGATCAAGAGGGAACATGGTAGAAGAGGAGTTTCAAGGCGGAGAAATGGGGGCCAGCTTAGGAAGACCATGTGTAGCATGGTAAGAATTTGAGAGTTTATTCTCATTACATAAGACTCCACTGGAGGGTTCTAAGTAAGGGAGCGTCATGACTGAATTCCCATTTCCAAAAGATTGCTCTCCCTGCTATGATGAGAATCAGCACGGGCTGGAGGGTTCAGTGAGATATGGGGAGGATATGTGGGGCCCTGGGCATGTATCCTTTCTCTGGAAATTAATAAAGGTGGAATTTTGTGGCTATTGGTATATTCCAGAGCTGCTGCTGAAAAAATCTCCTATGTGGCTTCCTAAATTGTCTCTATAGCAGCTCCAGTTCATGAGGAAGCTGAGGGACCACTTGGAATGAGAAGCAGGGGTATGGGACTGTGAAGGCTTCTGAGTTCCCCTTCGCTCCCGGCTGGCCAGGGTATCACCCGTGAGGTGTTGGATGCACCACAGCGTGCCTTTTGTTGGCCTACTCAGTCTCTGTATTCACCTATGCAGGATATGCAGCATAGTCATTTTTTAAAAAATAAACTGTCTTAAAAGACTGTAGCACCAGTTTTGGTTTATAACTTTTAGTTATTTTGACTTTTGTATGTATGTGTGTCCTGAGGGAATATTATAGAAGTCATAAAACTCATAAGATAAAAATGCAAATAATTGAAGTAAGTGCTTCATGAATGATTGAATAGTAGTATTTCTTTTTCCATTTCAGAAAACCCCAGTTTGATCATGGAGAGGTAAAGGCTGATATTGCTAAAATTTACATTATTTTAATATTTGCATATATTTGGACTTTTCTTTCTAGTTCCAGGTTGTAAGTTTATTGGTAATTGTCACTACTCATCTTCAAAGTAGGCCTGTATGTGTTTTTATAAGAATACTACAAACATGACCATCCATTTGTTAAAACAATTAAGTGGGAACTCAGTTGGTCTACTCTGATCATCCTCAGGGTAATAGCAGTTTGTCTCTGGAACCCAGTTAGACGCATACGTATGTGGAGGATCTTCTGCATGACGGGTGATCTCTTTGCTCTCTGCTCACCTTGCCCTGAGGCTTTGGAGATGTGATGGGTGCTCCTCCCATCTCCTGGTGATTCAGCTTGGTTTTGATGGCTGTTCCAAGGTGCAGCTCTGGGATCTTAAACAGCAGTTGTTTACCACTTTCCTGCCTTAGTCTGGTGGTAGCACCAGTGTAGATTCAGAAATGTGGGCTTTATTAGCCACAGGCTGGACTCTGAGCAGAATTATAGAACCACTTGTCTTAGGGACTTTATAATTTTAGTCCTCTAGTAAAATGAAAAGTTCAAAAGTAAATTTTAAGACTTATTTCAGAAATCAAAATATTACTACTAAGAAAAAGACCCCTTTTCTGTGTATTCACCAGTTTAACAATTTATTCTTAAACTCCACAAATAGTGGGAGTAAAAAATATTTTCTCTTTCTTTCAGCTGGTTTATCATGCATTGCAACTGTTAGCATATACAGCCCTTGGTATTTTAATTATGAGACTAAAACTCTTCTTGACACCACATATGTGTGTTATGGCTTCCTTGATCTGCTCAAGACAGGTAAGATGGTTGTTAGGTTGGTGTTATAGCTACTATGATAATTTTACTCCAGCCTTTGTTATTGAGTGGCCCTAAAATAATATTGTTACCCAAATTAAATTGTTACAGTTAAAGTTTGTTGTGGTTTTCTACTAATCTTTCCTGAGGGTAAGGGCCAAAGCAGACCATTTGCCCTTCTAACTTCTAAAATAGTCCTTGGCATACAACAAATGCTCAATCAGTGCAGGCTGAATTCATGAATGATTATTACAGATGTTGACAGAAAGAAGAGCTTAAATTGTAGAAACAACCTTTTTTGTTTTGACATTGGTATCACAAAGAATTCTAACAATTGATTTCAAGTTACAAGTATTTTCAAATTATTTGTTCTTTTTCAGTATCAAGTTTAAACATTTTTTTTTCATTTATACGAGTATGCATTTGTATGTACCTCCCCAACTCTACTTTTTTATATTTAGTTTAAGCCATCTTCTTATTTGCTGGGTATTTTTCCTGGATAACTGCTTCCTTGCTCTGTATTCACAAATCTCTGCTTCTCCATAGTGTCATCTTTTCATCAATCAGGTAGCCAAGGTGCAACAGCATTACTGTTTTTAAATTTAGCAAATATTTGCTGAATATTGCTACACCATGCGCTAGTGATGAGGGTAAAGTAGTAGTTAGGAAAATCAGAAATCAAAAGTATATGTATGCCCTCCGGAAACTTGAAATCCAGCTCTACAGACATGTAGCGAAAAAATATTAAAGAGAAAATGATAGGGACAAAATGATACTACAGTAGTCCTCCTTTATCTGTGGTTTCACTGTCTGAGGTTTCAGATGCTTGCGGTCAACCATGGTCCAAAAAAATTACATGGAAAATTCTAGAAATAAACAATTAGTAAGTTTTAAATTGCGTGCCATTCTGAGTAGTGTGGTGAAATCGCACACCATCCTGCTCCATCCTGCCTGGGACGTGAATCATCCCTTGGTCCCCTCTGTGTACACTGCTCACCCATCAGTCATTTATTAGCCACCTTGGCTACTAAGATTGACTTTCAGATATTGCAGTGCTTGTGTTCAAGTAACCCTCATTTTGCTTAATAATGGCCCCAAAGCCAAATTTATTATTAGTTACTGTTAATTTCTTACTGTGCCTAGTTTATAAATTACACTTTGTTATAGGTATGTATGTATAGGAAAAAACATAGTATATATAGGGTTTAGAACTATCCTTGGTTTCAGGCATCCACTGGAGGTCTTGGAATGTATTCCTCGTGGGTCGTGGGGACTACTGTACTGAGTGTGACCTATTTGAATATGGAGAAAATTAGCCAGCCTCAAGGTTCCCAATCAGAATGCTGGTATTATATTAAAGAGGCACTGCTTCCCAGAGGCTGACCCGGGCGTGAAGCCACTGTTTCTGACTCCTCCAGGTGACTCTTCCAGGTGACTCCTCCAGGCGGAGACAGGAGAACAGGCTGGTGGGAAGCCTCTCATCTTAAACCCACCCTGCACCATGACTTAGGATAAAGAGCCGTGCCCTAGGCTGGCTTCACAGGTGTGGGACCTCTGTGATCGCACAGGGGCCCACACTCAGAAGGACTCTGCACCTAGTTTGATGCTCTGGTGTTTTTGAACTTCTTAATAATTTTTAAACAAGGGGCCCCACATTTTCATTTGATGCTGGGCCTGATGAATTATGTGGTAGGCCCAGCCTTACCTGAATCTGGGAGTAGAGAGAACAAGTTGAAAGAAGAGCTTCTTCAATCATGGCCCACCTATTTATGGCTGATTTAGAATTCTTTTGATCCCTCAGGTCATTGTTTCTGGAACTTTTTCCTTAGGATAATTAATCCTTTATCTGAGACTCTATCAGAGATTGTATTCTTCTCTGGGAAGATCCAGTGCTTATTGGATACATGCTGCTTTGTACTAACAATTGTCAATGTATTCTTAATTTGGTTTCAGCTGTTTGGATGGCTGTTTTGCAAAGTACATCCTGGTGCTGTTGTTTTTGCTGTATTAGCAGCAATGTCAATACAAGGTTCAGCAAATCTGCAGACTCAGTGGAATATTGTAGGGGAATTCAGCAATTTGCCACAAGAAGAACTTATAGAATGGATCAAATATAGTACTAAGCCAGGTAAAAAAGTAATATTATTTTGCTACTGTTTTTCCCACGATTTTATATACCACTGCAAAATTCTTAACCCAGTTTACTTCCAGTGGTCTTACTCTTTCTAAGCAGCACTGCTTCTAGATTATCCAGAAAAGGAGATGTCAGTCTTACTTAAGTGGTTTGCAAAGAAAATGTTATACGTATTTTCTAAGTAATTTATTTTGCTATTTTCCATAAATTCCAATTTTTTCAAAATTTATCCAGTTTTACCCACCACAATTTAAAATAATTTTTATGCTTATTTTCTTAACGAATTTTTGATCTTAGTCTTTCACATTCCTTCTTGAAATGAACTCATGGAATCTGATATTTATTCGTCTTTAGAAAGGGAGATTTTGTTGTCATCTGAGTATCAAGTGACTGAATATTAAACCATCTTCCAGAATTCCTTGGTGCTATAGAACTTTTCTGGTCAATTTGATACCTCTTTCCTGGAATCAGGAAAGATTTCTTAAACATTAGGGGAAAAAAACAACCGGAAATTCTCAATGATGAGATGATGAGGCTCTATATTCCAAGAAAAATAGTTTACCCAAGCCTAGTTGCTGACTGCTACTTTTGTCAGCCACCGACCTCATTCTGGTCCTGCCATTGAATCTTTAAGTCACGAGCCTCTTTCGGCCTCCACCTTTCACCTGAGAAGTGACTGAGTTGACCAGAAGGAGATCCCTGTGACGCTCACTGAGTGGCTTCCTAAGACCTTGCTCCTGCTTTGCAGATGCAGTGTTTGCGGGAGCCATGCCCACAATGGCGAGTGTCAAACTCTCCGCGCTTCGGCCCGTTGTGAATCATCCACATTATGAAGATGCGGGTTTGAGGTCAGTACACAGCTCTCACATTGTTGAAAACGCATTTTTCATATAAATAGTGGATGACGGAACCAGCAAAATAATGAGGAGTGTTTCCAAAAGGATGTGGTGAACTGGGATTTATAGTGAGGGGAGAGAGGAGTGCTGAGATAAGACTGTGAAGTTAGGTACAAAACTGGCAAGGCTCAATAGGGTAATAAAACTACAACCTTTGTGATTATCTTCTCTACCAGGCAGCACAAAAGGGATCTTACCGTATCAGTTTTCTCCAGGTTAACAAGGCTGTAGAACATACAGGGCCTCGTTAGTTGTCCTCATCCTTAAGTGCCCCCGAAGAGTCATTAGCCTATAGCTGTTATTAAGGTTTTCCTGTAGGCCATCTTTCTTGAATTCTCAGGAGTCAGTTGAAATGGAATCCATTCAAAGAAAGTTTTATTCTGGTTTTCACAATATAACCTGCTAGAATGATCTTTTTTTTGTTTTTTGCTATTTGTTCATAAGTTAGAGTTTTGTGTTCTCTTTGAAAAGGAAATGGATTTAATTTTCGTGAAGTTTCTCGGGTAGGTCAAGCTATTAATTTCCAAAGTGACTAGGTGAATTCTATCAATATATTCTTTTGTCTAGCAGTGGGACATACACTTTATAAATAAAAACCTTTTTCATTAAAAAATCAATTTCAGCAAGCTAATTTCCAGAGCAATTGTATTGAATAAGTTTAGTTTTCTTTTAAATCTCGGAATAAAATGGAGAGCCATTTCATACTGGTTATTGCTGGTATCCAAGTGGGGCCTGTTGCAGCTTTGAAGTAGTCCTGTAGCTGTGTTTGTGCAGCCCATCCTCGTCCACACACAAGGTGCCTTCCTCTTATTGGTGATAGAGTGATGGAGAATTTAAAACAAAAACAAGCAAAGAAATGAACCAATAGGCTAAGTTTGGAAACGAAGGGATGTGTTAAACTGAACCTCTTCTCCCAGGACTCTTATGCCACTTCTGCCTTTTTCTTTTGACCTCCCGGATGCCCCTTAGCAGGAACTCCCATGAAGAATGTTCTCTTGACCTGATTCTTCTGTGTAGTCTTTCTTCCTAGTAGGTTGATTGCTTCCTTTTAATCTTGAAAATCTTCTGCCCAATTATGTTTCTTTAAAGAGCCAGAACGAAAATAGTATACTCGATGTATAGTCGAAAAGCAGCTGAAGAAGTTAAGCGAGAATTGATAAAGTTACAAGTGAATTATTACATTCTAGAAGAGTCATGGTGTATAAGAAGATCCAAGTGAGTATTCAACACAGTTAATGTTTTATATTCATAAGACGCAAAAAGTTAATCCAGTCTCACGGCAAGTGTTTTACTAGTCATATGTGTGAGATGCATATAACATTTGGCAAAGTATAGGTGGAAAAAACTTTTTAGATAATCACTTAAATTGAACTTTTTTTTCTATTCATTATAAATATCTGTTTTTTAAATAATGATTTGCATGTGTACACTTCCTTAAAAATATTATATTGGGGCCAGCCCAGTGGTGCAGCGCTTAAGTTCGCACATTCCGCTTCGGCGGCCTGGGGTTTGCTGGTTCAGATCCCAGGTGCAGACCTATGCACTGCTTGTCAAGCCATGCTGTGGCAGGCATCCCACCTTTAAAGTAGAGGAAGATGGGCACGGATGTTATCTCAGGGCCAGTCTTCCTCAGTAAAAAGAGGAGGATTGGCAGCAGATGTTAGCTCAGGGCTGATCTGCCTCGGAAAAAAAAAATATGATGTCCCAGTTTGCTTATATTTGTCTTTAACGTTTTAAACTTTCATGCAAAGTTGGATGTATTTTCTTTCAAAAGACTTGCAGAGTCTGAGACTAAATAATGAAGAGTCTCTTTGTAATTAAGTCAGTCAGACAGTGAGGGCCTCGTTTGTCCACGCCACATCTCTGCACCACACCATGTCTGTGATAGACAGGACCCCCTCCCAGCATCAGCTGAGAGTGCAACTTCTTTCTGCTGTTTCACATCTTATTTGAGTGAGATCGTAAGTAACTTTTCTGTGACCCACAGTCTCTTGAGTTTATAGTTTTAAGAAGTATCTATTTCCGCAGAAAAGTTCACTAAGCAGAGTATAGCAACAAGAGTTGGTAAGATCTTAAAAGCAAACGTGAATTCCAAAGTTGAGTGTATAGAAATGTTGCACTTGGGTGACTAGACAGCAGAAGACAGTAGCTTTCTATTAAAATACCAATGCATTTGCTCCATGAGCAGCACAGACATGGGTAGTTTCATCAGAAATCAAGGATATTTTATGGAATACTATTATTTTTAAAATTCTCACTACTCTTTAAGCAGAAGCCTTCAGAAAATTGCTATATCTGTGGCTTAATCATACTCATCCACCATTTATTTCAGTGAGACACAAGAGTGTTAAGACAAAATAACTAAATATTGACTCAGGAGTAAAAATAATTCTGTGACAAAATATCAGCATTGCCCACAAGGAAATTCAAACAATTTTTGATTGCCGGATGATTTGCATATGAATATGTCCCACGTGACTTGAATTTAATTAGAATCTATAGAAAATGTTATTGTTCTTAGAGTCATAATTTAGAAAATGGTTTAAGTCCTTGTGAATAAGGCTATATATAAAATTCATGTACTCATCTTTAATTAGCTTTGTCATATAAATTTAAGACAAAAAGGTCTTAAGCATCTTTCATAACAATTTTCTGAGGACTTTGTAATAAATGAATGGTGGGCCGACATTTGCAATCAGAAGAACTTAGTTTCTTGCCAGAGATTTCCACCAGCACTGGGGTCTCCTTTATTACCTTGGGCTCCACTCTCCAGTTCAGTTGTGCCAGCCTGAGACACCTGTAGGTTACTGGAACGTTAAAATAAAGTTTCATGACCTTTTTCCCCCCAAGCTAATGACGAGCCATGATTCAAGGTTCTTCACGTTCTCTAGGCCCTTGAATGCTGTTGTGAGTCTGTGGAAACTGCGGAGGCTGGGGCACTTTAGTTCTGAGATGGGGATGGAGCTCCTTGAATTTGCATAGCTTTAGTAATCTCATGTTCTGATGGTCAGAACACTTTTTTTGTACACAAGAAAGGATGAAAAGACAAATTGGGAAGTATGGCAGCAAATCTTGCACCCTGAAGAAGGTCAGCAGTGAATTCACTGGCTTCGGGTCGTCTGCATTTAGAGCTCACTAGGGGCACTAAGACTGAGAGCTGGTGGGGGGCGGAGGCTCCTGGATTTCCCTGTCTGGACCTTCACTTGCCCGTGTTGCGTTTGCTCCAGCAGGAGTGGAGAAGAGGAAGCTAAGGAAGACGCTTTCCCTAGTCTGTTTTCTCCACTCAGTAACTAAAACAACACTCTCCATCTACTGTGAGGTTTCAGCCAGACGGATTGTAAATCTCAGGAGACCTTAGACAGGTGCACTCGGCTTAAACCTGGAAACAAAACACACAAGTTGTGCTGTCTGTTCTGACAGGGAAGCAAAGGGTGAGCTCAGGAGAGGAAAGGGAAGAAGGACTAATGTGTAGTGCTGACATTTGCAGTAGGAAGAACTGAGTTTCTTGACAGAGCTTTCTCCCAGCGCTGAGATCTCCTTTATTGCCTTGGCCCTCTCTCCAGTTCAGTTATGCCAGCCTGAGACTCCTGTATGTTACTGGAACAGAAAAATATGTCAGAACCTGGGGAGCAAATGGGGAACTCAAACAGAGAAAGAAAGGGAGAGGGACTAATATTTATCTGGGACTTACAGTGAGCACTATATTTATGTGATCTCATTTTCAAGTGGCTTAATTGTGTGGCTTGATTATCCCTTAAATACTTGACACCCTGTATTCAAATACAAGTACGAAAATACACTCAAATGCAAGTTGTAGATGAGTTTTTAATTAACTACTCTTTTATTCTCAGTTCTCTGCTTTCTTTCCCATTAATTCCAATAATAGAGTTGACATAAAATTAAAATACATGAATTCAGAAGAAAATTATTCCAATTTTCACATTTTTAAATGCTATTTAAAGATGGAGCTGGCTGGCCTAGGGAAACTTCAGGGAACTCAGATAAGGACTAAAGGATGTTACGCTTAGGCAGACAGAGCTCAGAAAGGCAGCTTTGCCCTCTTTTTCATGAAAGCATTTGAACTGAGTAGCTGGGTAGTTTTCTCCTTGCTGTGTTTCACTCTCTACTACCGTTGGCCTGCAGTGTACTAACAGTTTGGCCTTGGCATGTATGAGAAAGTTAAAGGGTAGAAGCCCAAGCCTAGTCATCTTATCACATGTATTCAATAGCGATAGAATCTAGTGTCTGAGAGATGTGCAAAAAATTTGCACCAAACAGTCTTCATGGGAACACTCATGGGTAAAACCTTTTTGGGAGATAATCTGATGGAGGCAAATTGGGTAGCCCTTTGACATAACGACAGTGCTGCTTCTAGAATTTTAGCTTGCAGAAAGATATAGGCACAAGAATGTTTCTATCAGTGTGGTTTTATAATGACAGAATGGGAAACAATTAAAATATCCATCCATAAAAGAATGGTTAATAATACGTAGGAATGCTAGCAACTATTTAAAAGAATAATGTAGGTCTTTGTGTATTGAGATGGAAAAATGGATTCTTGAAAGGAGCTGAGGCAGAATTTAACTGAGATCTCTCTTACCCCACCACCTGAATTCACGTATTTTGTATGTCTGTTTCTTTCTTTATAGTCACTTTTGCTGCATTCACCTTGTTCTAAAGAGGATTTATGGCAGCTTATAAATATAAATGATTTTGAAAGGATTTTTTTTTAAACTATATTAATTTAAAATGAAAAAAAAATGAAATGAGAGCATAAATATAAGAGTGTGCTCTGCTTTATCTGCCATTACATAATGTACTTTGGTTTTGAATCTGTACGTTAACGTTTCTAGGCCTGGTTGCAGTATGCCTGAAATTTGGGATGTGGAAGATCCTGCTAACGCTGGGAAACCTCCCTTATGTAACCTCTTGGTGAAGGATTCCAAGCCTCACTTCACCACCGTATTCCAGAACAGTGTTTACAAAGTCTTGGAAGTCATAGAAGAGTGACTGCTGCCCACAGAGAAGTACATCAGTCATGGTTTTCATGTTTTGCTAATAACTCACGCCTTGTTTTTAATTCAAATCCCAAAAACTTTTATGGGTAACTGTTTTCAAATAGAAAACGTTTTATTTGGTCAATTTGAATGTCATTCTGATTGTAAAAATACTTACACTTTTATCAATTGGTTACTATTTCAATGCACCCCATAGAATTTGCTATGCAAATGAGTATATGCTTGTACTTGACTTAACTATTTGTGCTAAAGTGAGCAAAACTACCTGTATAAAAAATATGATGGGTCATCCAAGGATAATATGAAACTGTAGTCCATTCTGAACCGTGTAGGGGCTGATTTTACAGTTTATGGACTATTGATGCCCCTTGCTTCTTTTTCTGCCTCTTGCTCTTGTCTTTTGGACGTTTCAGTGATTATTGAATTCTCCTCAATCATGTCGGCCCCTGTCATCAACTTCAGTAAGAGTAGATGGGGCAGACATGGGTATTTGCTATGTAGAATTTTCTGTTTATTTCACTTCACGTTCCTTTGTTCTCTGTTGCTCTTGTTAATGAAGCATTTCCTGCCCATTATTAATCCAAACTCTTGGACCTGATAGTCAGGACCAAATTCCTGTAACTGTCAACCATGTGGCATTATCGTGTCTTTCTCTCTTTCTCTCCCAATATTCTTTGTCAGATAAGTGTTATTTACTCATTTAGTTGTTTATCAAGTACTTATTCTTGGTTGAAAAAAAATTTAGTCGCAATTGTGTATTTTTCTCATCCTTAGTATTATTCAAATGTTTATATTTTAATACTTTTAAACCACTTTTAAAATTTTTCATGTTTAATTGTAGTTTTAAGAAAAACTATTTTGACCAACCCCAAATATAATGCGTCTAGAAACTAATGTATATTTGAGTAGACATAATTTACAGTGGAACAGTAGACTGTAGTATGTGGTAATTTTTATTTTACTATTAAGATACAATAAAACATGAATAATTTTTCTGTCAAAAAAGTAAATGAATAATGATAAGTGAATGAAGTTTTTATATTTGCTTTTAAAATTGCCTGTCTTTAATAAGACAAAGCCTTAAGCCTTATGCTATAGTTTTGGTTCCAAAAACCATCATTTCAGTATGAGGAATGAATATATTCAGCCTTCCTCTTTATTTTTTTTCCTTCCTATTTATTTTTATTTTGAAAAATGTTCAAACCTGCTTTGAATTCCTAGTATGAATTTTTGTTTCTTAGAAGTTAATTTGTGTGAAATGAGATTCTTCAAAACAGTGAATCCTCATAGTTCTGAGAAATGGTTTTAAGATTTTAAATTCTAAGCAAACCATGACTCTGGCAGACTACACATTTAATTATACAGTGTTCTCTTTATTAACCACAGGCAGATTAACCTCATTGTGGATTGTCCTTGAGACCTGAGTCCTCAGGGATGGTTTCCAGTGCCCGCTCCTGGGAGCCACTGAAGAGCTGTTCTCTTTCTGCCTTCTCACCAGAGCCCAAGGACAAGCCTGGTCTGGGGGAAGCACTAGCTTGCTTAGAACAGACAGCTGCAAAGACGGCCTCGGCTGAGGAGTGTGCAGCCTCGGCCTGCCCCAGAGCCCATGTTTCCCCTGGGGGCCTCCTTCTGACCCAGGGGGCCTCCTCCTCACCCCGAGGTTCGGTCAGTGTCTTCAGGTGCCTGCCCCTCTTTCTTGCTTGCTGGGTGACTTTTATTTCTTGGGCTTTTGCCAGTTTCAGAGAACAGGGAAGCAGCCCGGGAGTTGCGGGTTAGGAGTAGAATTTGAGCAATGATGCAGCAATCCAGAAAAACAGGGCGAGGGCACTTAAGGCCCAGGAGGGTGAGAGCTGCCCTGGATGTGAGCCGGAAGAAGGGAGTATGCCCTGCCCTGTCTGGGATTGTTTCTCACCCGAATGTGGCTGTTTTGTACATCCAGCGGTTACAATTTTTTAAAAAATCATACTTTTAAAGTTATTCTTCCCACCCTCTAATCCCTTCCTAATAAATTCACGTGTAATGATTGGAAATTCTGTACAGCAAAAACATTAAAATACTGTTAGAACTGTTTCATATGCTGGGAAAAGTTAAAAGCAGTCAAAGTAGATTTTTTCAGAAGAATCCTTTTGTAACAATTTATTAATGTAACTCCACCAGCAAGCTATGATTATATTTTAGGCCAGTCAGTTTAGAACAGAGGCCTTGGGCTACACTGCACACTCAGCCTTGGTCACATCTGGTAGCAGCCGGTGCTGTAGATTATAAATATCTTTTATGGCAACATAGAGTAGTAGTAGGTTCGATATCCATGACAAAACAGTATTAAAGCTCAGTATTTTATGCATTTTTAGCATTAAAAATATCATTGCTTTAGTATGAGGAAGGTGAGGATGGACAAGGAGGCAATAAAAATAGCTATTGCTGTGACATAAAAAAACAAAGTTGGGGCAGTATTTCTAAAAAGATAAGCCTCTAAAAATACCTAGCAGAAAAAGTGTAGTCTTAAAATAGGACAATGATATTAAGGAGAAAATGAAAGGATGTATCAGGAATAAAGTGGTATTGCATAGGAGTATTGTATTTTTATGAATTTTATGCCAGTTGTTTACATGTAAAATGTATGTTAAATAAAAAAGATCATGAAAAATATGGAAAGTGTTTTGTTGATTATTTTCTTTGCCACCTTGACTGTGAACATGTTCAGCCTCGTTCTGTCGTCATATAACCGTGAACTGGTTTGTGGCAGATTGCGGTCCTGACTGATGGGGAAGGGTTAGAGCAGTGGGTCCATGAAACTACTTGGTCCTCTTCATTGGTGGTGCTTTAGCCCCTCATGCGTGGGATTGGTGCCCTTCTTAAAGAAGCATGAGAAAACTTCCTTGCCCCTTCCACTGTGTAAAATTACAGCCACAAGGTGCCATCTATGAACCAGGAAGCAGGCTGTCACTAGACACTGAATCAGCCAGTACCTTGCTCTTGGACTTCTGACCTCCAGAACTGGGAGAAATTTATTTCTATTGTTTATAAGATACCTGATCTGTGATATTTTGTTATGGTACCCAAACGAACTAAGACGAGTGGGGCCCCAGAATTTGCATTTCTAACCAGTTCTCAGGTAATGCTGATGCTCTTAGTCTGGGGCCCATATTTGAGAACCACTGCTCTAATGGAGGGGAAAAGACTCTCTGGAACACTGACCTCCGGGGGGCTCTGTTCCTGACAGCGCTTATCCCAGTGGGACACGCTAGAGAGTCTCTGCCTCGCAAACTGAATTTTACTGGAGTCCCGTCTTTGTCTCTTAGGGGGCACTACTTGAACGGACCTTGCAAGGAGCAAAGAACAGATACAGTAATTTTTAACCAGAACGTTAATACAGCTTATTTGTGTCGTGTTTACTGAAGAGGTGAGTTATGAATCATTTAAATATTTTGAAGCTGTGAACTAGGCTGGGCTTGGGCCTGTTTCTTTTCAGTTCAGAGATGGAAAAAGAGTGAAATCCTTTGAAATCGAACATCCTTTTGTAAAATTACTTTCTCTAGAAGAAAATAGATAAATTCAGTGATGTGTATGGATTTTAAAACTTCATTTTCCACTGTATTAGTTTTGTTTGGCCCCAGAAATCCTCAATCTTCTCTCATTATTGGAGAGCAGCTAAGGATCAGCTCTGGGTCATGGGTCACCCGTTTCTCTCTTCTTCCTTCCCTTCCCCCTCCCCCCAACTAGAAGTTTCTAATTTAAATCAGTCAAACTGTCCCCTATGCAGGAAAAGAGGAGCAGCTTTGAAACCTCTTGACATTCTTGAGTCAATCTTTACTTCTCAGTTCTGCATCAGTACAGACACACCTGTGTACCTTCAAAGTTGAAAAGAACAAACGAGAGCCCTTGAAAACTTTCTTTTTGCCTTTCCTCCCATGAGAGAGATTTTAAAATTCTGAAAGAATATAAGAGTTGAAGACTTCTCTTAAGATTTTGAGTCATTGTAGTGTCATTAAAAGGTGGATTTTTCTTTTTTTGCAAAGAGATTAGGATAGGATTGATATTGGCTCTGATTCAAAACAATGTTTTCTGTACTCAATTATCTCGAACCCAAAATTCTTATTACCTTGTTAGCGGTATGTTGTCAAAATGGCTTTCAAATAAATGGTAGTGCCACCGGTTATTCTGTTTACAGAGGCATGTTCTTTTTAATTCAGCATGGTATCATTTAATTGATTTTTAAGTACATAGGCTGCTTTTTGCCATATGCAAATTTTATACTTTAAAAGAAAGTTGAATGTAGCAAAATGAAGCTCATTCAATTGTGCTGAGTGCCCTTAAAGCTTCAGTACTAACCCATTTCTAAAAGTAGAGAAAGAAATGAAAATAAGGAATGACCATTTCTGAATCTATTTGGCACCAAGCCATGAAAACTGATTTAAAAAAAACAAGGGTGCCTGAAGGCCAGGTCCTCAGCTCAGCTGTATGGACACAGCCCCCGCCTGTGGCTCTGCCTTTCGGAGACTACGCCTGCTCCTTGGCCAGCCTCCTCAGGTCGTCACTCCTGGTAACTGCTTATCAACCCGCGTCCAGACTCAGAGGTCTCCCTCTTGCCCTAGAACAGCCTCTTCCTAAGAAGTGCAAATTCAGTAATCCTTCCAGCCCTTTTGATCTGTGGGGAACTGGCTTTTTCTAACAAGGACCCCTTATGGCAGTCATTCTCAAACTTACCTGCACTTTGGAAATTATTTGGGGAGCTTTGAAGATGCTGAAGCCTTTTCCCCACCCCTGGAGACTAGAATTTAATCAGCCTGGGGCCAGCCTGAGATTTGGAACTTTAAAAAAATTTCCGGGTGACGTTTTAGAAGCTGGCCTCCCTGCCTCACTTCTGGATAGACCCCCTTCTGGCGTCCCTGCTCAAACTAGAAACATTAGGCAAGTTTCTCTCATAGACACACTCTCTTTTATTAATAATGATTGACAGCTCCTACTTTACCAATCATGAAACCCAGTGTTGAGTAGACTCTTTAACGAAAGAACCGCATGCTCAGGTAGAGATATCTGCCATGGGGAGTGGGTTGGAGAGGGGCAGCATAGGGGCCACATATTTGTAAACCCTGGTTAGAGTGTCAATGAGAAATGGGAATATAGCAGCAAAAAAATAGATAAAAAGAAATTACTTTAAAAATCCCTTTGACAGTTTAATATTAGTTTGGAGAATCCTGTTTCTTCTCTTTGCAGATGCTTTTTTCTTTCACCTAGAATATGCTTCCTTGATGAGTTTTCACTTCAAGATGGAACTCAAATGTCACCTCCTCTGTGAAGCCTTCCCTGACTGCATACCTCTTGGCTGAGTGAACTGCCCTATTGACCATGCTCCTATAACCTAATTTAACATGACTTATTCTACTGCATTTTGTCCTTACAGACTGGACCTATGTCTTACTCCATTCTGAATCCACAATACCTTCTAGCACAGTTCCTGTGGTAATGCTTAATGATGTTTGAAATATACTACACTTTAAGCAACAACGCAGTAAATTCCAGATGGCACTAAAAAACATTTTTTTTAACTAAAAGAAATGGAAGATTATGTACTCTAGCTCTGAAGATGAAATAATAAGGAAATGCAGCTCATCTTCAGATGAGATTACTATATATAGGGGAAGAATGTCCTTGATAAACAGCTAAACAAAAATTAACCTCATGACATATCCTGACCGGGTACCTTGATACATTCAGACATGGCTAGTAACCAAATAACTATTGGAAAGCAATATGGCAAAGACAGACGTGCCTGTCTCCAGAGCAAGGGCTTTCATTGGCATGGCTTGCATTGTGTGGCCCAGGACACTGATGGCCAGTCCTGGGCACATTCACTGCTGGCCAGGAGGCAGGGAACTCTGATTAGGAGTTTGGTTAAAGTCTGGGAAGAAGGAATTCTCAGAGGATGGGGAGAGACCGATGTGTTGTTGCTAGATGAGGATGTTAGACAAAACAGATGACAGCAGTCATACAATTAATACTGTCATAATTGAGACAACTAAATTGGAATCCTGGATCCATCTTTACAAACTTTGTAAAATAAGCTGTTTCTTAATTTGAGAATTTTCTTGTCTTTCAAAAGGATATGCCTCCTAGGGTGGTTATTAAAAACAGGAGAAATAGACAAATCCACAAATGCAGCAGGAAATTTTAACATACCTCTCTTAAAAATTGGTATAATAAGCAGGCAAGAAAGTCAGTAAGGATGTACATGATTTGAGTAGTAAGAAAAGCAATCTTGATTTAATGGTCATGTATAGAACAACCGCACCGAACAAATGAAGACTACAGGTTTGATTCAAGCATGTGGGGCGTTTGCAAGAATTGACAATAGAACATGAATCCCGGAGAGGCAAGAATTTTTGGTCTATTATGTTCACTGATGTAACCCAAGCAGCTAGAACAGTACCTGGCATATATGGGTGGTAAATGTTTATTGAATGAAAAAAAAGGTCATACATGGGGCTAAACAGCAATTCTCAAAAAGGATTAACAATGGAAAACTCTTACATTAGAAATCAATACAAAAATAAACAGTTTAAAATAATACATGAGACAAAGAAGAATCTATGATGAAAAATCAAGGAAAAAATAGGGCAATGATATACTACAAACAGCTTGTGGGGTTTAATTAAGGCAAGTCTAGAGAGAGACGTTTTTCCTATTTAGTCTAAAATGCACACACTAAACTAAAAATGAATTCAAGTATCTTTGTCAAGACTGTAGACAAAGAGCAGCAGAATAGCTTCCCTTTCCCCAAATTGGAGGAAATAACAAGCAGAACATGATGAAATGGAAAACAAAGAGATTAACAAAGCCAAAGTTGGTTATTTGAAATCTTCATTATCGAGAAGACAGAGAAGTCATAAAAAATTAAGAATGGCAAATTGCCAAAGCTGCAAAGAGTAAACAGGTAACAGGAGGATATTGTGAACAACTTTGTCAATAAATTTGAACACTTAGATAAATGGTTAAATTCCTAGAAAAATGCAACTTAACAGAACTAATCCAAGAAGAAATAGAAATTAAGAACAATCTTATCCCCAGCAAAGAAATTGAATTAATATTCCCCACAAAGAAAACAACGTATCTAGACAGTTTTACAAGTTTGTTCTACTAAACATTCAAGATACTGATTATCTAGTCTTATACAAACATCCAGAGAATAGGAAATAAGAGAACTCCAGTTTTTAGGTGATTGTATCATTAATACTAAGAACAGAGTGGGGTTAATGCGGTAAAGGGAAATTGCCGGTCTATTATGTTCATGAAGAAAGAATGCAAACAAGAATCTAGGAATAAACTGAACATAAGATGTAAAGATACTAGCTCTCCTCAAATTGACCTATAATTTAATCAACATACAAATAGGGCTTTTTATGGAGCTTGACAAGCTGAATGTAAAATTTTTATGGATGAATAATCAAGACAAGTCTGAAGTAGAACATGACATAGGGGCACTTTTTCCTACCAGATAGCAAGATTTATCACAACAGCTGTAGAAATATTGGCACAAGGGTATAGAAATTAGTAGAACAGAACAGATAACTCAAGAGGAAACATGCGTAAATCTGATATGTGAGGCTGACAGTTGATTATATGGAAACCCAGTTGTTTCCGTACCTTAC